TGGCGAGATGAGATAAGTGAATGCATGGAGCAAGCTCAGCGTCATTCCTGGTACATGGAAGATGCTCAGTGAATAATAGCCATCGTGATTGGATTTTTTTCCCCCGTCTCATCTATTATTTAATAGCACAGTACCTGCTGTCCTATATTCTGAGGTTTTTATGAATATCAAATAAGATAACCAGTTAGAGTGCTCTGAGAAATGAAGATTTGAACTGTTATCATGGTGTGTTCTATCACCTATTATTTCAATAAGATCATGTGCTAAGTATCCACCTTTCCTTACGTAATATTTTCGATTCTAGCTACCAAGTCCCTTGTTGAAACTCTACTATGGGACATCCCTTTGGGCTAGGGGCAAATTAGAAACATGTTCCTTGGTGTTTCACAAAGTTTAGCTTGTTCTTTGAAGAGACCATTAAAATCTCTGTCTGGCACATAACCCCAGACTACTTTTCCTGAGGTGTTTTCATGGTAATGTAGTTGTATAGATTTAAGTGTGACTTCGTTGATGTGCTAATTATGCAAAGCCATTGTCCATTTCTCATTGACCTTCCTTTCATAGTCTCAGACTCTGAAATCTTTGATTGAAAAGTGCAACCATGGGCTAGAATGGACATTAATGTGCTCATTTTAATGGCAAATATTTAACAAAATAGAAAAAGTAACCATCCCCAAGTTGACAGCTGAAAGAACACCTTTCATAGTCAAGATAATGTCACACCCGGTTAGTGAGGCCAGCCACTGATGGGTCACCAAAGCAATAATGAGCGTGCCCAAGAGCATCCAGTCACATAAACATATTTGTTTATTGGCTTAGAGAAAAGATCATGTTACAACCAGCATTGAACCACCCATATTGGAATGCCTAAAAGCACAAACAGACCAGAATGAAATGGTGAGTAGTACATGGCCTTCCAGTTCTGGAAAAGAGCTGATATATTTTCTTAAAGAATTTCATCTTTCACTTGAGAGGAAAGCAAAGATTTTATCTTCTTTCAAATGATAAGACTTCTTAAGTGAGCAACAGGAGAGCTATGTTTCTTGGGCTTAATATGAATCCTTTGTCAAAACTTCAGGTTTTTCTTTTTAAATATATGGTAAATAATGCAGGGGAACATTGAATCTGATTAATATGAACTTTAGGCAAAAAGAAATAAGGGAACCTTGACTTGTATTTCTTTTCTAATGATGAGAAGTTTACCGAAGAACGGAGATGTTCCTTTCCCTTCTGTTGCAGAGGTTCTGTAGGTAATTTGTGAAGAGCTGCTTTGAGTGGAGTTCAGTGAAGGGAAATATTAAAGGGCCTTTCTGTTTATCAATACTCTGGGGTCATTTTAACAATATATCTGGTTTTAAGTATCAGGATGAATTATATTCTGAACTTGGACCTACCATTTGTCTCATTTGAGCATGCTTTAAAATATCTGTGCAGGGGCGCCTGTGTGGCGCAGTCAGGTGTCTGTCCCTTGGTTTCAGCTCAGGTCATGATCTCAGGGTCCTGGGATCAAGCCCTGGGTCATGTTCCCTGCTCAGGGTGGAGTCTGCTTGAGATTCTCTCTCTCACTCTCCCTCTGCCCCTCCCATTCATGCTCTCTCTCTCTCAAATAGATAAAATCTTTAAAAATAAAAAATTTTAAAAAATAAGATGTCCGTGAAAAGATTTTTTGCAATCTCAAGCTGTGTGGCACTAACGTACTCCTTAGCCCTGACTAAACATGAGGCTGCTATTTCAAATTGGGGTTTCATTCATTTAATGTAATTGCATAAACAGTTTAGTTTTAACTCGTGACTCTCGGGTAAGAGAGAATGACCAACATTTTGCAAGGCAAACTACCAGACAGATTGGCTCCTAGGGTGTTGACATCAATATTGGGAGTGTGAAAGTGGTGGTTTTTCTTTGTGAGACGTGCAGAGCACATCACTCTTACAGAGAGAGAGAGCTCAATTTTCTATAGCTATATTTGATTTTCACTTTGAGTGCTGGGGACCTAATGCTGTCCTTAGGCACTGAGTTTTTCACCTCTGATGGCATACGTAGGAGGACTGGGTGATTTTCCATGGGCAGCAGTCAGAGGCTAGGCAGGGCAGTTGCTCTGTCCTCCCCAAACAGAACCTACACCAGAGACAATTTTGTGGCTATCGGTGCGGTTAGCTTACGGCTTCTGAAGAAAGACTACATCTAGTTCATGACCTCCTCTCATTGTGAGGATTTACTCATGTCTCAAGTAAGTACCTTCTCAATTTTCCTTGAAATTTGAATTTTTTTCTTTAGGCGACACTGTGATTTAATGGCAATATCTTATTCCCTATGGAGTCTGAAAAGGTAAAGCAGGTGGAATGATACTTCCTTTTATATGGAACTAACAGTGTTCTCTATTGGGAAGGATGAATGATTAAGGCATGCAGGCAAAGTAAACAATCAGTTAAGAACTTAGAAATTGCGTGTAGCTGCTTAAGATGTTATGGGCTTTGCAATTTATCAGGACATCTTTTAGAAAGTGTTTTAGTTCTCCTGCCCCTCTTCGGAGAGCTAGGCATGTAAATGGGATGCACTTGGTTAGCCTGACACAGAAATCAGGCAGGTGAGCCATTTGTTTACTGTGTTTGATTCTGGAGTTCTCTCTCCGTATGCCTAGTATGTAACGTCAACTTGTTTTAGTGCCATTTATTTGTATTTTCCCTGAAGCTCATGTGTAAATTCAGAATTCGCATTTCAACAGAAAAATCACGAGAGACCTAAATAAAGCTGATTAAATGGTAGAGATATGCTTTGCACACAGAAAGACTGTCTGGTGTATATTTTGGTTAGAAATAGTTAGATGAGGGATGCCTGGGTTGCTCAGTTGGTTAAGCATCTGCCTTCGACTCAGGTCATGATCTCAGGGTCCTGGGATCGAGCCCCCATTGGGGCTTCTTGCTCAGCGGGGAGCCTGCTTCTCCCTCTGCCTGCCACTCCCCCTGCTTGTGCTCTCTCTGACAAATAAATAAATAAAATCTTTTTTTTTTAAAGAAATAGATGAGCTTCTGTATCAGCCTCTCCAAGTTTAATGGACATGATTATTTATATATTGTAATATGGAAAAACAAATTTCTTAGATCTTAAACCACAGAATATGGATGTTTCATTCAGAAAACAATATTTATGTACATATAATGTCTATGTTTAGCCTAGTAAGTCCTGTTTTTGTATTTGTTTACCAAGAAGTGTCCCAACTGCAATTGCCATCAGGTTCAAATCAGAACTCAATTGCTAGCAAAACATGTTATCAGCATTGTTTCATGTTCTTTTTATACATGTAAGCTCTCTTCCACACACAGACATGAGAGGATAACTAATTGACAGTATAGACAAGGGTTTGGTTTTCAAACCCAGTAGTATAAATGTAAACACAGCTTTAGGCAGACTGCAGTCAGATAGCCTATCTGAATACAGCCTCGTCTTCAACAATCTTAAATATCCATTTCTTTTCCCTTTCCCCGTTTCTTCTTTTTTTTTTATAAATATTTATGGACTCCCTACGATGTGCCAGGCACTGCTATGGCCTCTGGGAACACAATAGGGAACAGTAAAGACACAGTCCCTATCCTTAGGAAGCTTTCAATTTAGTGGGAAAGATGGATAGTATCAAAATACACAATTACACAAATCATTCAGTAATTAAGCTGTGGGAGCTGCCCTAGTCTGTAATAATAACATCCCTCTACCCTCTCGAGAGAGCTATTGGTCACCCCCACCTGTCTTCATAAAATGAGAAGACATGATTAAACGCTTCCTTCCAGGGAGGAGTTAGCCAGAGGTCTACATTGTGGTTTGTGCTCATGCTCTTCCGTGTAGGGTGGACACTTTCATGTGCCAGGCACACTATGTTAGTATTACGAGAGAGGGATGCCTAAGTGGGAGAGGCATCACCTTTGCCTGAAGGAGGAGGAGAGAGAGCATGCATACCCTCCCCCAAAAATCTATTTATCTCTGTATCTATCTATATAATATACATCATGATTAAAACTAGGAATTTCAGGAATTCTTAGGGGGAGGGCAAAAGGCCTAGTTTGGTGGATCAGCTAATGTTTCCATTTTAACTGATCTATAAAGAAATAAATTGGACTTTGATAAGGAAATGCGGTGGAGAGGGCATTCCAGGTAAAAGGAATTGAGTAGACAAAAGCAAGAAGGTGGGAAAATTCAGGGCATTTTGAAGGACTGACCCAAGAGAGAGAAACAGAAACAGACCAGCAAACCAAAAAATAGCTTTATGCAAACAGGAGGGAATAAGGTTAGTAGGATAAATTGAGGCCAGATCACTGAGGTTTCTCTATTATCTGTTTAAGGATATCCTGAACATTATCTGGTCGATCCCACAGTTTCAGAGGGTGACTGGTGAGAAAAGCCTGGAACTGGGCACCCCAGCACATCTGCTGCCCTGGTCTCAGTGAGAGACGGGAAAGGCCTTAACTGCTGGTGGTTCAGCTGGTAAATCAGTGTTTGGGGTTTGAAGCAAATTTGCAGCAATGTGCTGGACTTTCCCAAAGATAATTTCTAGAACGGAGAAGCCATTAGGCCTTTCCTCTAAACTCACATTTTCTAACCCATTTATATGCCAGGTTTCTTCTATTGGGAACGACATGGTAGCCTCTGATATAAATGTAGATATTTAAAATGGGAAAACCGTAAGGATGGCAGTGTGGACAGATTTTGCTTGACATCACTACAAATCTTTCTGACCTGATTTTAGCTGATTTATGAATAAATGATTATTCCAGTCCTGAGAGTTAAATATTTAAAAAGTTAGCTCCGTTTTAGAGTTCATGTATAATACAGAACTGATTTTCTGGGCAGCGGACTTCCTCTCATTTCCTTCTTTTTAATACACTGTAATTCTGATCTCTCCTTTTTCAGTTCCCTGCATGAAAATTATTTAAACATTGCACGCAAATCTTTTGTGAAAGAAGAAAAGGAAATTCAGTTTGTGGGTCTCAGCAGGAGCTCAGCTAATACAGCTTAAAATAATGCCGAGAAGGAAGCGCTTATCTGCAGGCAGAGTGCCCCTGATTCTCTTCCTGTGCCAGATGATTAGCGCACTGGACGTACCTCTTGATCGTAAGTATTAATGTTTTAAAGCTGTTAAGCCCGGGAGTCAAAGCCTCCCCAGCATTTCCCATCACTGTGAGCTGTGTGAATGGAGAAGGTGTCTGTGTGATCCTGAAAAGCTAATCAAAATTAATTTGGCTTTTACCTACAGCACCTGGTGTTTATAAAGAGTCTCACCACAGAAATGGCCATTGAACCGGTCAGACCATTGCCCCCTCCCTATCATTATCTTTCTGCCTCCTCAGGTGCCTTTTGTGTACCATGGGGGCCGGGCAGCAGTGGAGAAGGAGCAAATTGTGGGCTGCCCTGGTCCTCCCAACGGGCGACTCTTGATAGAAGCGGTCCTGCGAGAAAACTATACGAATCACTTTGAAACAGTCATGGAGACTTCCCCACCTGTCCGCTCCCCACTACTCCATCCTCCGCCCCCTCACGTGCTCAGAATGCTCTGGAAAGATTGGGGGATGGTTTCTCAGCCCACCCCACGCCCCTCCGTATCCCCAGACTACCCATAATTCGTTTCTCTCGATTCCAACAGGGCAAAATCCACTTTACATATGAGTCTGGATCTAGGATGTGTATCTCTAAAGCCTAAAGAAAGATCTTTGGTTTAAAAAAAAAAAACGTGATCAAAGACCAAAATGTAAAATTTTGTGAAGCAAACAAGTCATGGGCAAAAACACTATTTAAAATGGAACCAGCAACAGCTACTGTATCAGAGCCCACCCCTTTTCCTACCAGGAAAGTATATGCTGCACTCTGCCTGCTCTGGGTGGCCTGGTTGTAAAAAAGAAAGATAATGCTGGGTTCCACCTGGTCCCTTCTCTTGCAGTGGAAAGCAGAATTTCAGATTTGGACAATGACTGTACTTCAGATGCATCCTTTATTCTTGATCTGCCTGACCTCTTTAAATCCATTAGCTTCCTGAATAGAACATCTGTTTGGCAAGCTTTCCAAGGTGCAAGGAAGATAGCACTTTCCTGGGGCTATTCAATTGTTGGGATGTCACTTTTTGCCAAAGAAGGTTGCAAGTCCCAGTGGGCAGACATTAAGAAGAGATGTGGTTTGCCCCACACTTCGTTGACTTCCTTTGCTATGCATCTATCATCTAAAGGACAATAAAATGCAACATTTTACTTCCTTTCAAAAAATATTCTTTGACCTAATTTCCATTAAAAAAAATGTATGATTGGTGAAGCCCGTTGGAGTTGGAATGCCCAAGTATAAAGGAGACAAAAGCACTTGAGAGAAATGGGCTTTTGTTCTCTCTTGTGTTAAATATATTCTCCCTTAATCTGATTGCTCAATCTAACAATCAGGGGGAAACTGTCACCTACGGCTAACTCAATTATCGCTGCTAATGGAGAAGAGGCATAACCATGATGAAAAGAAAGTCACGGACAACCCAGGCGCTCCTGCATTAACCTTTACAAGTAGTAATGACAGGCAGCACTGCAGAATCATTTGAATTGCATGCTAATGTAACTTCTTCCCCTCCCCTCTTCCTTATACCCCAGTCCATCTGAGCTGCTCCTTGGCGCAGGTACTAGCAACCCCTCGGTGAGGAGGAATTCTGAAGCAGAAATATGTTAACAGCTGAAAACTTCAATTACTGACTTGCAGATTAACCATAGAAATGTAAAAACCCAACAGTAGTATTGCATTTGGCTCGGATGGGGCGTCGGCACCGTAGTGATGTCCAATTGTTAGGTATTATTACCATGGGCCTAGTAATGTCTGGGATAATAGGATCAGACACGACACAGTATGTGACAACTCAGATTAATTGTAGATTTCAGCTATTTTTCAAATTGAACATAATGACTTGTCCAGCACATGTACAGAATGGAATTAGCCATTCCTAGTCCTGGAAGAATCCTTTTTTGCCAAAAGCATTCCTTTTGTTCTTCCATATGTTTATGTGGGATGGCTGCTACAGGAGTAAACAAAGCCATTAATGGGAGTGTCTTTCTTTTACAACCTCACAACTTCCATGTTCACTGTACTGGTTTTTTAGGCCAAACCAAATAGACAAGATGCCCCTTTTATCTCCAGGGTGCTAACGTTCTTATTACTAACATCTGGTTTTCTTTAATCCTGTTTGCCCACTCACCTGCTGATATTGATGGGGAAAAAGCAAAACTTCTTGAAGACTGTAAGTGTCTTTCTATAATTATTAGGCAGTGTGAAAACTTGACCATGTCTTTGTTTTTGAATTAATACTGTGAATTGAAGGCACAGCTTTAGGAGTTGTGACTAACGTCTTTTTGAGCATGTGCATTTCCTATGGCTAAACATTGCATTTAAATACCAAGAAGCAAGTTTAATATATGCCCTGCATGAATTCTGAAGACTCAGGTATTACTTTTTCTTTTACCAGTATGCTGCTCGACTAACTTCCAAGCTTTATTCGCATCTGATGTAACTCAATGAGAAAATTCACAGAATTTAAAGAAAATGGCTGTCTGGGTCTAAATGCCATTAAATGCTTGCTGGCATCAAGGCGTGTCTTTCGGTATCTTCCAGACTGTGCCTCGCCAAACTTCTTCAGGACCGTGTAGGCTAGCGTCCCAGCAGTATAACGGCCCAGTGAAATTGAATATTGTTTTGAAGCGAGCAAGACCATCAAGCAGGCCCCACTTACCCCGTTTCTGAGGGGCTTGCTCTAAGCAGAAACTTCTGCTGACTCTGGCAGTTGGGCCGTTCCTAGTGTCTCCCTAAAACAGAGTTTTCGGGCATTTGAAAAAATCCTTTGAGATTGGATTAACCAGGAAAATCATGTAAAATCACCCTTCCCCGCTATTCCTTCAAAGTGTTTGTTAGTTGCCAGGTGACCTAAGCACTGTTCAAAGAGCTGCCCGTGGACAGTAGACTCCTGACAGAGGAGGGGCATCTAACTAGCTCTGCGGCAGACGTGTGAACAGAAGTTTTGGGTTTGAAACCACCAGACTCACAGAAAAATATAAGGAATTGGACTGAGGCACTCCTCACCATCCCCCCACCCGCCACCTGGGTATCCACCGTTCGGGTGTGAAATTCCAGGCTTCTTTCCATCATCCTAAACTCGGTACTCCCAGAGCCTAAAGGATCACTCAAAGATGAAGCTGGTCCAAATAAAAATGATTATGATAATAATTTGCGCAGAGCTCACGCTGAACCATTACGGTAGTGGCACGTACTAAGAATTTTCCACAGATTCTTTTATTTACTGCTCCCAGTGGCCCTAGAAGGTAGATAACGACTTTTAAACCCCATTTTCCCTCCAAGGAAAGTGGGGCTTACAGAAGGTAAGAAACTTGCTGGAAGTCTCACAGCTGGTAAGAAAGAATCAGACGGGTTCTCGACCCCCAGCCCAAGGTGCTATCCAGCATGGGGAACTGACAGGGCTTCAAGACCGAGGGTTCTTTGTAGGGTGGCGGAGGCTAGGAAGGGCAGCCGGCCGAGCAGGAGCATGAGACAGGGGTGGCTCTCACTAAAGGGAGGGGGTAAATGGTACTGTTGAGTATCCAGCAGTTACTAGGTGCATAATAAATGATGACAGGAATGAGCTCTGTTTTTGATCTGGGCTCTAGGTCGTATTTGTATGGTCAGAGCCAGCATTTAGTGCCCATTGTAGTGGACAGCAAGACCAAACAAGTGAAGAGAACCATGTTGGCTGCTTTATAGGCCATCAGACATGGAAATGATACATTTAGCCCTGGCAAGGATTAACCACAGTAAAGAAAGACAAGAGCAGAGGGCAATTAGTAAACTTTGGGAAATGCTTGGTTGGCAGGTGAAGGAGGTTTCACGAAGCACAGAGCATGGGCGGAAAGGGAAAAGCTTAAATGATCTAGATAAGTCTTTGTTGGGGGAGGGGGAGGGCTGTCTTGTAAGATGTTTAGCAGCATCTCTGGTCTCTACCCGACCGATGCCACTACCACCTCTCGCCCCGAGGGTGACAACCAACATTGCTTCCAGAAATGGCCAAATGTCCCCCGAGGGGACCCTAGGTGAACGGCTCTCCCTGGAGTTGTACAAGGCAGTGGCTTCTACTGGGAGAGTTTGGTTCTCTTCTCCATAGGATTTGGAAATAAATGATCGGCTAGCACTTTGAAGAGCGAAATGGAAATGTCTCCTGTAACCGAGCACTTCCCAGTTCCACTGATCTTCTAAATGAGACTGTTTTATCTTTGTTGCTAATAGCCACCTACCTCCTGGCTCTAATAAGACGTGCCAAGTCTCTAAATTACCCATCTTTTCAATGCTAACTTCCCAAATTGATTTGTTCCCAACATATATTAATTTACATTAGCACACTAATAAACTATAAGTCAGTTACTCTTTCCTAAGAAATGCCCATTTACCTCATAACTTAAATTTTATTGAAAAGCATCATTGGAACCAAAAAAATTCTCAAGAATTTCTCATTGTTACATCAGAAGAGAAATGGTCTTAATATTAAACTTGTATTGGTAATTATTTTCCCAAACTTGTAGTGGGGGTGAAATGGGCTCTGTGAATCCCTATAAAGTTATCAAAAGGAAGTTGTGCTTTGACTTCAAAGTTTTAGGAGACTTTTAGTTAAAAAACCTAGTAACATATGTGCTGCCACCATTGAAATTGCTAAAAACATTTGGAGCATAGTCAGTCTAGGGTAAGTGATTTTGACATAGAAAGAATGATTTTTATTATGATCTTAAGTGATTTCTTTACATTGTTCTTCTTTCTACAATTAAGTGGTACAGCCTCCAACCATTACTCAACAGTCTCCAAAAGATTACATTATTGACCCTCGAGAGAATATCGTAATCCAGTGTGAGGCCAAAGGGAAACCTCCTCCAAGGTGGGTGTGCTTTCGGCTCTGTGATAGAACTGAACATAAACATTGGTATTATGGTGATAGGTCCTGCCTATTGTCTTTCTGATGAATTGAAGTCAGATTGTTTTTCTTGGACACCCAAATAATTGATTGCATTTCTGGACTCACACCCTTCTGCAAAATGCTCCAAAATTATAAGGAGATGTGAAGGAGAGCCTTCTAAGGGCTCTACTGCCCTTATGACATGGGCAAACCTGTTTTCTCTGGGCCTCAGTTTCTTCTTCTATAAAATAAAGAAGTTGAATTTGATGGCTTCAAAGATCCATCCTTGCTCTGTAGAGGTCTGTAAAATAGTTCTGAGTGGATTTTCAGACTTGGCAGGGCTCAGCACTCGGGATTCTCCATATGGATCCTGGCATGAGCACTGCACAGAAGTTTAGAGGTGGGGGAGACATGAAAGGTTATCTGGTCCAACCAATAGATGTTATAGATGGGAGACTGATGCCTGGTAATGCTCCTCCACGCGACTACTCAGCAGATGCTCCGTCACTTGCACAGTTATATATGGGAAGTTTGGAGAGTTGGATTATTATTATTAAAATGTAATGTGGATTTTTAAATAATAAAGAAGTGAAAGTTTCTAGATCTTTCATTTCCAAGTCTGTCTATTGCCAGCCTTACCCAACTACCACAAACTGGCACCTGAGAAAAAAATCAGCTAGTACTAAATACTGAAGTATATCAAAAATACCCTTTGAAGAGGTTTGCTTCAAAACAGTATGTTCTGCCATCTTGTTAGAAACCCCTAGCGCCCAAGCCCCAAGGTGATGTCATTTCATGGAGTCCCCCTTCAGGTTCACACTGATGTGACACTTCCTGCCACTCTCTATAAGGCAGGATTACTATTTTGGGCCAGATAGTTTTTTGTTGTGGGAACGGGGACTGTCATGCCCATTATGAGATATTTAGCAGCATCCCTGGCCTCTCTCCTCTCCATTGGTAGCTCCCACTGACCACCACCTCCCTCCCCGAGATGTTGGGACAACCACTGCCATAGGGGAGGGAGTGGGAAGGGAAATCCCAGTGGGCAGGCAAAACACAGTGAGGTCTAGAGCTTCGTGCCTCTGTATAAGTGTGGCCACTGTGGATTTATGACTAGTTATAAAGTATTTCATTACACGAGCGCCGCAACTTCTGTACCAGGCAGTCTTTTCTATAAATAAAACGGAAAAAGAAGAATTGCAGTTGACAATTTGAAATACTTCCTGAGGAATTTACAAAATCATCTCTTCTAGAATTGAGAATTCTCAAAATGTGTTATATAGAGAGTTACCACTTTTAATAGCCAACATCGAAAATACCACTGACCTCATTCTCACCCCCTTCCCCCAACTTACACTTTGCATTTTGCTAACTTGAAACTGGTCGGATCCCTTTCAAATGCACACATGTACTAGTACCTGGGAAGGCCTTTCTTGTCACATTTCAGCCCAGAGCAAAATTTTATAGACAGGTTATCAACTCTGTGAACAATGGAGTTTACAATAAAAATGCTAATAAAGCTCTAAGAGAACGTGCCTCAGAGACCTACTTTCTGTATTTTCTTTGAAAAATGACAGGCAATTTGTGTGCCTGACTTCCTTGAGACAGATTTCGGCTAGTTCTAAATGAAGACATATACCTTAAAATGTATGGCCAGCCCTTTTTACTTTTCTTTTTTTTTTTTATTATGTTATATTAATCACCATACATTACATCATTAGTTTTTGATGGAGTGTTCCATGATTCATTGTTGGCGTATAACACCCAGTGCTCCACGCAGAATGTGCCCTCTTTAATACCCATCACCAGGCTAACCCATCCCCCCACCCCCCTCCCCTCTAGAACCCTCAGTTTGTTTCTCAGAGTCCATAGTCTCTCATGGTTCATCTCCCCCTCCGATTTCCCCCCATTCATTTCTCCCTTCCTACGATCTTTTTTTTTTTTTCTTAACATATAATGTATTATTTGTTTCAGAGGTACAGGTCTGTGATTCAACAGTCTTACAGCCCTTTTTTCTAAGCTCTGATTCAATGAAACATTTTTGGTATGGAGCCTATTGCTCTTTCACTGAATAGTAAAATGTAATCATTATCTCTAGAAGCCTACAAAACGGCTAGGAATTTGTGAAAGAGGAAGTCATCCTGTTTTTGTGGACTGTTAACAAGTTTAATGCTTGATGTGTTGGGCAGCTTCTCCTGGACCCGCAATGGGACGCATTTTGACATAGATAAGGACCCTCTCGTCACCATGAAGCCCGGCTCAGGAACCCTCACGATCAACATCATGAGCGAAGGGAAAGCAGAGACCTATGAAGGGGTCTATCAGTGCACAGCCAGGAACGAGCGCGGAGCGGCAATTTCTAATAATATTGTTGTCCGTCCTTCCAGTAAGTGGGACTTGTCCGCCAAACAGGACCCTATTTTTAAGGATGGCTCTGAGACTCAGCATCTGTGACCTCATCTAGATACTATTACAAGAAAACAATGCCATTGATTCCAGTACTCTCACTTTGTTTTGCCTGAAAATTCTTGCTCCTTTCCACTAGCCTAATGCTTTGCCAACCCAGTATGTCTTTTATGCAAGTCCAGAATAAAACACCAGGAGTAAGAAAAGCATTTCTTCCCCGAATTGATCAAATTATTAATTTCTCACGTATCTTACATATGAGCAAACTTCCGACAGCCCGACAAAAATATATTCAGTATGAAATGGGTAATGGGTGGGGCGCCTGGGTGGCTCAGTCGTTAAGCGTCTGCCTTCGGCTCAGGTCATGATCTCAGGGTCCTGGAATCGAGCCCCGCTTTGGGCTCCCTGCTTGGCGGGAAGCCTGCTTCTCCCTCTCCCACTCCCCCTGCTTGTGTTCCCTCTCTCGCCGTGTCTTTCTCTGTCAAATAAATAAAATCTTTAAAAAAAAAATGGGCAATGGGTAATTAACATTTTTGTTTCAAAGTTTCACTGGAAATAGAGGGACCTCACTACCTTGAGATAATTGTGGCTCTTTTTGATGTAGTCACTACCCATGTCCTCTCAACAACTTGTACTTAAAGAGCATGTATATGAAGAACATAACCATTTGCAGTTCTGGTCATTTTGAAAATTTGTTATTACCTGTGTTCATTATTGGGGAAAAAACCACAAATAACAAAAAAGAAATTGAAAAATTTACTCATGACTATTTCCATTCAAGCAAGTAACCACTGCTCTTTCCACATTTTCTAGGCAGAAATGCGTGTATGTGTTCCAACCGAGCTCATTCTGAAGTACTATTTTATAACCTTTTCTGACTAATCTACATATCATGTATATTCTCATATCAATCTTCTACATACCTATACCTACTTAATATGTGACACTCAAAAGTGTAGGTGCACAATTATTCGTTTAAACAAACGTTTTGACATTTAGTGCCTTCCATTCTTTCGTAAAGAACACGCTCGTAGCAAAATTATGATGTGTCTTCTTTCCTTTTTTACACACAGCAGCATGCTTTTTTTTTTAAGATTTTATTCATTTATTAGAGAGAGAGCATGAGAAGAGGGAGGGTCAGAGGGAGAAGCAGACTCCCCGCTGAGCAGGGAGCCTGATGTGGGGCTCGATCCCAGGACTCCAGGATCATGACCTGAGCTGAAGGCAGACGCTTAACCAACTGAGCCACCCAGGTGCCCCTATGATGTATCTTCTTAATGATTTATTTAATAATACAAACTTTTAGACATGAAATTGCTGCATCAGCATTTATACTTTTAATGGCAGTGAATAAAAATCATCATTTTTTTTTAGCATTGGGTTTAAAAGTTATTTTCTTGTTGTCTTAATGTACATGAATTCTGAGTTACTATTCCCCCCAAAAGTTTATTTTGTCTTCCTTTCTAGTGCTCTTTTATTTTTCAATGCAAAAATAACTTAGAAGTTATTATTTTATATCATAGGATCACCGCTGTGGACCAAAGAAAAACTTGAACCAATAACACTTCGAAATGGCCAGTCTCTGATCCTTCCCTGCAGACCCCCTCTTGGATTACCACCACCTATAATATTCTGGATGGATAATTGTAAGTTTTAAATATATGAACTTTCTCTCTTCAAGATTCTTATGATTACTTGCTGTCACAATGAATCGTTACCTCTCATGATTCATAAAAATGTTTATAAGGTGTTTTAGAGATGCTCAAAGAAAAAGAGAAATGCTCATTGGAATAAATAACGTGTCATGAAATAAGCAACATGATTTTCTTGGGCACCTACTGTATACCAGGCGCCGCTCTAGAGAAACCACATTCCCTGCCTCCACCGAGCTCATACTCTGTGCAGTGGGAATAGTTGGGGGTGGGGACAGAAGCAGCAGTCAATGCATTTATAAAGTAGGTATCAGTTGACAATAAGTTCTATGAAGGAAAATAAGCAGGGACATCTGAGTGGCTCAGTTGGTGAAGCGTCTGACTTTCGGCTCATGATCCCAGCCAGGGTCCTGGGATCGAGTCCCGCGGCAGGCTCCCTGCTCAGCGGGGAGTCTGCTTCTCCCTCTGCCCCTCACCCCGCTCTTGTGCTCTCTCTCTCTCTCTCAAATAAATAAATAAAATCTTTAAAAAAAGGAAAGAAAGAAAGAAAAATAAGCAGCGTTTTGAGCAGAGACTTAGAGGAATGAGAGAGCAAGGCAGGCCCCTAAATGTCCAGGTGGAAGGGAAACAGGCAGGCCCCCCAAGGCAGGAGCATCCTAGTGCCTGGAAAGCCCCAGAGGGCAGCGTGGCCAGACCACGGGAACCCGGCGGGAGAGAGACAGACAAGGTCAGAGAAGTCCGGGGCTCAGTACAGAGGGCTTTGGCTTTTGCTCTGAATGAAGCGGGGAGACACGGAAGGAGTGACTATACCTGGACCTAACCAGCTAGCATTAGCCCTCCTTCAGTTCCTGTGTGGATTGCAGAGGGGACAAAGGGGGTAGGGACACCGCCAGGCGGCCCCTGCTGAAATCCAGGCAGAAGCTGACGGTGACATGGACTTGGGTCGTGACCGTCAGGTGGGAACAAAAAGCTTCTGGATATATTGTGGACGTGGAGCCTCTAGGATTTCTTGGGATCGGGCTGGGGGCACGAGAGGGAGCGACCAAAGATAACTCCAGAGCTGAACACTGAGTAGCTGACAACACGGAATCACCGTTTTCTGAAACAACAGAATCCCGCGGCTGGGGGCAGGGAGTCAAGCTATTTGGGATGTGTTCCCTTTGTCATTCAGGTTGTTTTTTTTTTAATCTCCAACAGCTTATATTTATTGGGCATTTATGAAGTGCCAGTCCCTTTGCTGAGAACTTTACGTGGGTTATCTCATCAATTTTTTACAACAACTCTATGGGGCATGTCCAATTATTCGTTCTACTTTTTATTTTTTTATATGTTTTTTATCGAAATATAATCAACAATGTCCTGTTAGTTGCAGGTGTACATCATAGTGATTTCATACTTTTATACATTATGGAATGATCCCCACAACAAGTCTAGTTACCATCTGTCACTATACAGAGTTACTACAGTATGACTTATTCCCTGTGCTGTACAGTACATCCCGTGACTTACTCATTTTATTACTGGAAGTTTGTACTTCTTAATCCCCTTCACCTATTTTGCCCATCCCCCAACCCCTCCTCAATTCTGGTAACCAACGGTTTGTTTCCTGTATCTGTGAGTCTCTTGTTTGTTTGTTTTAGATTCTACATATAAGCGAAATTATGTGGTGTTTGTCTTTCCCTGTCTGACTTATTTCACTTAATACTCTCTGGGTCCATCCATACTGTCGCAAATGGCAAGATTTCATTCTTTTTAATGTTGTGTGCTAGTCCATTATCTATATACCATGTCTTCTTTATCCATTCATCTATGGGTGGACACTTGGGTTGCTTCCCTGTCTTGGCTATTGTGAATAATGCTGCAAAAAACATGGAGTGCATGTGTCTCTTCAAATTGGTACATTCATTTTCTTTGGATAGGTACACAGAAGGTGGAATTGCTGAATTGTAGGGTAGTTCTATTTTCAACTTTTTGAGGAACCGCCATACGGTTTTCTGGAATGGCTGCACCAGCTTGCATTCCCACGAGCATTCCTTTTCTCCACATCCTCACCAACACTCATTATTGTTATTTTTTTTTTATATATAATAGCCGTTCTGACAGGTGTGAGGTAATTAAACCTGTGGTTTTCATTTGCATTTCCCTGATGATTAGTAATGTGGAGCATCTTGTCATCTTTCCAGAAACTGAGGCACAGAGAATGAAGTGATCCATTAGGCCATTTCACATCTGTCTACCCCGGTACTATCCTTAAGGGAACTGTTTGTTGCCGCCTCTCCTCCTCTGCTAATAGGTTAGCATATTACCTTAGGGGTAGCTTGGGGTTCTGCTTGGAGACCAAGGAACCAGGGTTGTGGAGGTGAGAGGCCTGGAGGCCTGGAGGATAGCCATGAGGAGGTGCCCAGCAGGACTTGGAAGGCAGATGCCGGGCTCTGGTCAGCAATGCAGGAATGGTAGAGCAGAGGTGCCCCTAGAGCCAGGGGCTGGGTGAGAGGACTGGGGGTTGAAGTGGTATGGAGGCAGAGCAGAGCCTGAGATGTGGAGATTAGGAGCCGCCCAGCGGAATTTAGGGACAAACCAGCAAAGCAGATGAGAAGGAGCAGTCCCTGAGGGAGGAAGAGAACAGAGACAGAGCAGTGTCCTTGGGATAAGGTGAAGCAAAATGTCAAGAAGACAGAACAATCAACTGTTTCAAAAGATCAGATAACTTCTGAGCTGACTGAAAAACAGTTATTCAGTTTGGCGACACGGGGATCACTGTTGACCTTGAAAAGAATCGTTTAGGTGGACTGGTGGGAAGGAATGCAAAATATTTGTAGGGAATACAGTCTATTCTCAGTGACATGATTTCCTCTGAATTCACAGACTGTTCACATTTCTAAAGAGAAAATTTCGCTGGAATATTTAATTTCCATTTGTGACTCTTATATGGAAAAATATTCAGAGAAAGTATCACAAAGAAATGAAAAATAAATATGTGAATGAATCAATGAGCAAACGTATTTTCCTGTTACTGCATAACAGCTTTTGAACAGATTTTGAAAGAATACATAGCGAATTGGTTGTAAATGAGAGGTGTAGCCAAATGTCACTGCCAAAACGAGACTCAGTGTTTGGTCCTTGGTTCTTACCCAGAAATGATGACCTTTTCACTTAATAAATAGATGAATACATGTGAAGTTTCAGAATCAGTTGAATATGTAACTTTGTTTTCCATATTGCACTGCTGGGCTATGTCATTTACCTACCTTTTAGGCTGTTAGCAAATCATCTGGACCTTTCAAATGAAATTGCATCTGGAATACAAAAAAAAATTTCAGATTTGTGTAGCATTCTTGTTGTAAGATGACATTATCAAGTTCTTCCTATCTGCATACATTTTTTTTCTAAGTGTAAGGCAAAGGATCTCAGGGAGCAAAGTGCTACCACCCTCTTAAAGTCTCATTCCCTTTCATTTGACCTACCAACACCCATCAATAATAAAATACAGCATGAGAATCCAAAGAGAATAAATGAATACTTATCTTTAACTCTTTGTATTCATTAAATAAGTGTACATTATTTTCCTGAGTTATTTATTTTTTTTGAGAGAGAGAGAGAGAGTGAGCAAGAGCAGGGGTGAGGAGGAGCAGAGGGAGAGGGAGAGAGAATCCCAAGCAGGTCCCAACCCAGCATGGAGCCTGATGTGGGGCTTGACCTCACAACCCCGAGATCATGACCTGAGCTGAAATCGAGAGCTGGACGCTTAACTGACTGAGCCACCCAGGCGCGCCTCTTGAGTTATTCTTAAAACAACCCTTTCTCTAGGCATTCACGGCTTATAATCACGAATTTACAACCACCAACCAAACCCCCATCGTGGCCAAGAACTTGGCTAACATGGCTAACCTGCATTGTTTCAGGCTCTGGCTCCACATTTCCCTGCCCCAAGGAGCTGCAGGCTTTCGACCACAATTTTGTGTTTCATGTAATGTTAGATAGGGTGCCTTTTGCAGGAGGAGCCCACTGCTTGGCTCAGACTGGAGAATCCTCCAGAAGACAGAACGCCTAGCCCGAAGGCTGCTGGAGTGTGCAGGTTTCCTCGTTCTCTCACTTCAGAGGCACAGAATGCTCAGTTAGGGCTCCAGGAATTCAGTCAGAAGCTTTAAAACATGCATGTTGGGGCGCCTGGGTGGCTCATTCGTTAGGTGTCTGCCTTTGACTCAGGTCATGATCCGAGGGTCCTGGGATCGAGCCCCACATCGGGCTCCCTGCTCAGCAGGAAGCCTGCTTCTCCCTCTCCCACTCCCCCTGCTTGTGTTCCCTTTCTCGCTGTCTCTTTCTCTGTCAAATAAATAAATAAAATCTTAAAAAAAAAAAGCATGTTAGCCCACCAAGTGTAAATTCATGCATAGATCAGCGTCCCCACCTCCCCAAGTCCTCCATCCACTTAGAAAGCCTTCCTTCAGTGCCTGAGGCTGGACAGTGCCTTAACTGGACCTGAGGGGAAGTAAACTGTGAAGCATGAACCTGGAAAGTCAGAGTGCTGACTTTCATTTCATTTAATCACGGAGCCCCTAGCAAGGGCCTTGCGCGGGTTCAAGGCTACAGCAGACCCTCTCTGTCCTCCTGGAACCTAAATTCCCAGTGCAGGAAGACGGGCAATAAAGCACACACGGGCCAAGTAAAAATACATCGTAGGTTAGAAGGAAAGAAAAAAATCGTGGAGTGGGGGTAGGCCGGGCTGGGGTGGCCGCTGAGGGGCTCATCTGCAGCATTCCATCATCATCACTCGCTGTTGTGAGTGGCCCCCGTGTGCTTCCTGATTCCTCAGTGAGGCCCCGGGCTCAGAGGGAGCCTGAGATGCTGGGCGCCTCATGTGGAGCCTAGTTTGAAGTTAGGTGCTCTCACAGTATCTGGTGTCTGACTGAGCACGTGGAGACAAGCCAACTTAACAGCCTTACAACCTTTTTTAACGCATTTTCTAAGATACATGTGTATATGTGTTTAACAGTTAGGGACTAACTTAAATATTAGGAGAAGTCCCACAAACTCTTTTGTAAAGCATTTTTTTGTTGTTGTTTACACTTGCTTAATACAACACTTGACTGTACGATTCTAATCTCACCTCTGCCCACACTCCAGAGAAATTAGGGTTTGGCAGGCGCAGTTGAAGTTTTCATGTGTCCTGCTGTTTTTTTCTACAGTTACTTGCTTTTACTCGAAGAGCTTTATAGGGGAAAAAAATTCTGGTGAAGTTCACAAAACTATTAGTAGATACATTTGTCTTGGTCATTGGGCAAGTGGCCACTTTGCGATGGAATCATCTGGATGTCTCTCTGCCTTTCTCCAGCCTTTCAGAGACTTCCACAAAGTGAGAGGGTTTCTCAAGGTCTGAACGGAGACCTTTACTTCTCCAATGTTCTCCCAGAGGATACCCGTGAGGACTATATCTGTTATGCCAGATTTAATCACACTCAAACCATACAGCAGAAGCAACCTATTTCCGTGAAGGTGATTTCAGGTAAGAGCTCAGCCTCCTGACTCTTTCTTCCAATGATGTTTACAAGTGTGCCTAAAATATATTAACAGTAAACACTACTGACTTTGAAGTACACAAGTTCATTGATCAGGAAAGTACCCGTGACTAGTTACTGATGTGTTGGCAGATAAAGAGCACACATAACCTAGATACTGTATTTTACATTCTTTGCTGATTTCACCGTTGCTGTTTCCACAATAACTTTCTGGGTCTACTTGGTCCCCAGAGCATTTGCATGTGCTTTATGCCCCAGCGTGCCTTTAATTAGCAGCCCTACAGCTTCAGTTTTGTGTCCCTGTATTACTGGCTGGGGGTGGCTGAGTGAAGTAATCAATCAATCAGTCACGTACAATGTAAAAGCCTGTGTTTACTTGGTAGGGGTGGCACTTGGTCAGCATAGCTGTATATGTCTGCTTTTGTTGTCCGATACCTTTTTATAGTACCCTCTCCCCTGCTTTTTGCATTCTTCATAATATTCTGTTTATTTCAGTGGATGAATTGAATGACACCATAGCTGCTAATTTGAATGACACTGAGTTTTATAGTGGTGAGTTATGGTGACTGCAACTGATTCTCCTCTCCTTCATTGTAGAATTCAGTTCACTAACTTCACCTCCATAGCTATTAAACCTAATTTCTTCATGAGAGTCCTAGTTCCATGTTTAATGCCGCTAGAACGAATGTGTGTTTCCTATGAAATTTAGCTATAAGCTTACATCATGTCACTAAAACATTTTGAACGTTGTACGTATAATAATAAAAATTATTATCACTGTTTTCATGTGAAGCACCATTTCCCTTGATTTGGAAAAAAAACTCTTTCGTGTATGTTTAGAATTATATTTTTCATTTTTTTGTCTTGTTCACAAACTTTTCTCATTAACCAAATAAGAGTGCATTAACCCACTAGAATACTAACTCGTCAGTCTTAGTAACCGTTAGCAACTAACATCAAGTGGATTTAGATAGTAAATCATCACATTTCCCATCTGTTCTCACATGACATTATCAGTGTCATATAATTAGCAATAGCATTTCCCTTAGTTTTGTTTAAAACCAAGGCACTATCTTCAGCGGAAATAACCTTTTTAAAAATAGAGCTTTTAACTTTATCCTTTTAAAAAGAAAAGAATTTGGTTTCCTTAAGGGAAGTGTGACTTTCAAGTATAGGGTCTATCAATGAAAATTGTGGTTTCTGGATATGAGGGTCCTCTTAATGATCTCTAAGGCAGAATTTCTGCTGTATTAATTTTTTACCCTTGAGATATAAAGTAAAAAACATTAAGGTACTATCAATGACCGGAGTAGGCATACCACAACTTCTGCCTTACTATTTGATTTTAATATTCCTGAAAAAGATGGGTCTCAAAACCATTCCCAAAGTGATTTCAGAGAGGTAAGGTTTCCTCCACAATTTCTAAAGTCTTAGGAAAATTCACATTTCTCTCAAGTAATACCTTCCCTGGTATTCAGTTTTTTCTTCTGAGAAATGAGAATAATTCATATATTACCTTTTCACTCACTTTTGGTGAGCACCAAATAGATAATGCGTTTAAGTGTTGAAAACTGTAAAGGGCTATAGAACCTTAAGACGGTATAATTCCTACTTCACGTTTTTCTGAGAGGCCATTAGAAGATAAGGCCACATTTATAGGTTTCCATAAAACGGAAGATGGCCTACATGGACCTCCCTGAGATCTTGGACTTGAGGCCTCTTTATTTTTTCATTGAGGAAACCAAGTTCAATTTATTTAACATTCATTATCCTTAATGTATGGCACACAATTTGCCAGACCTCTGTCAATAACTTTCTAGTTTTGTTTTGTTTTGTCTTCCATAAACCTTGCAGTTTGGGGGTCTTGATATTTAGACATCCCCCACAGATTTATGTCCATGATTAATCAATGGAATTGACTATGATGTTGTCCCTAGTGTAAACCAAACTGCCCGCTTCCATAGTCACAGCTTTCAGAAAAATCTAACATCTTCCACAATATGGTTAATTTTCACTTTGACCCGACCACTAATTTTAAGAGATGGGTAGTTTGATAATGTGACTTTCCTCTCTATGTCTACATTTTGAAAATTTGCCCATGCACCAAAAATTTATAAAAACCTAACCCAAATCAAAGGAATGCACAAGAGTAAAACAGTCCTTCGTATTAGTGCTTACTGTAACCAACATCGTTTCCGTTCCCAGCTGAGTGAGCAATGTTTGTAAGGCAGAGAGAACGAATTTCACAGTGTTAAGTGGTTTTGAAAAGGGATTAGATTTTTAGACAGTGAACTGTGTTTCTAGAAATACATAGTCATAACTTTTAATCCATATGATTGTATTGTTTGCAGCAAAATCAAATAGAGAGAGGCCACCAACCTTTTTAACTCCAGAAGGCAATGCCAGTCATAAGGAGGAATTAAGAGGGAATGTCCTTTCACTGGAATGCATTGCAGAGGGACTGTGAGTTCACGCTGTCTTTTTTTTTTTTTTAAGATTTTATTTATTTACTTATTTATTTGAGAGAGAGAGAGAGCACCAGCAGGAGAGAGCATGAGCCTGTGGGTGGGGGAGGGGAGGGCAGAGGGAGAAGCAGACTCCCTGCTGAACAGGGAGGCCAGCCTGGGGTCTTGATCCTGATCCCAGGAGCCTGGGCCAGAAGGCTGACTCTTAACCAGCTGAGCCACGCAGGCGCCTCATGCCTCTGCTAGGCAGCTCCGCTGTGGGTTCACAATTCCAGGGGTCTGCTGGCTGCTCGCAGGGCAGCTCTTGGCCTTGAGTTTCTCCTGTCCCTCTAGCCGTCTAGCCCTGGCTTATTCTCCTAACAACAGAAGCACATGCATGGCCTCTTAGGGCTCTTAGGGTCTAGCCTCAGAATAGGCACTCTGTCCCTCCCACTACTTCCTGTAGGCAGGTCACAAGCCTAGCTTCTTTGCAGATGCCTCAGGACAACTGTTAAGTTAGGCGCACATCAGTGGCAAGTTTCTACATTGTTCCGTCTTAGCCCTGGCACCGAGCAAGTAATGTTGATGTAGGCACATTTGCTGAAAACATTGAATGGAATCTCAGAAACATTGCCATGATCCCATGTCCTGACCTGGTAATGCAACAGTTTCTCGATCCTTCCCAGAACTGACCTCCAGGAATGGCTTTACTGCAGGAGACACGCAGAGGTCTCTGCTGGTCATGTCGGGAAGTCACTACACATGCTACTCAGTTCAAGTTAACTGAAACTAGCAAAACGCCCCTTTAAAGATGTACTTCCTTCCCACCAGAATTAAAAAACAAACCCCCAAACCCTTGCAGTTTTCATCATCATGGTGTTAGAAAATGGTTTAATCTACCAACCTCCAACCTTTTGGGAGTAGAGATACCCATTCTCACGATTTTGTGATTCCCCTTCCTGTGAAGAGTCTATTACGTAAAAACTAAAATATGGTTGATATTTGGAAATTGCATAAAACTTCCAAAAGAATTTTTAAAACCTTGGGATGTTATAAAACTAATATTGGGGGCTCTTACCATTTACAAACCAGTAGCTGGAGGACTCACGGAATCAAAATATTTCTAATTCTTAACAACTGCTCAGTGGAGTACTAAGCAGGCTTCCAGAACAATCCATGACTTAGTTTGACCTCATGCTTCTATCCCCATGATCCATTCACCTTCAGATCATGTAAGGTGCAGATTATCTGACTAAAAAAAAACCCCAGAATATGCTATCAGATACCACATGGGTCTCATATCTTCCACTATTCAAAATGATTTTACATTTTCTACCTCTTTTTGTATTCACAGCAGGTTTTATTTTAGAAGCTATTTCATCAAAGAAATATGTTCAATTATTTCTATTCAGCTACACAAACCAGAAGTAATTCTACAGTCAACCAATTAATCCCACTTGCATTTCTAAGGACAAATATTTTGATCTTCCTGAGGTCCCTAGGCCTTTTTTTTTTTTTTGGTCTTTATCTTCCCAACACACAACTCAGTGCTTGGTCCTTAGTGCAGTGCTTAGTAAATGTTTGTGTCCGGTGGATTTTTATTTTACCCTCATAAAAATCTTCTAAAGTCACTAGATCAAAATTCTCCCATTTGATAGGGAAATGTGTGCAAAAGTTCATGGGCACAAATATATATATATGTATATATCAGCTCTTTGCATTTTTAACTCTGGCTGATAAAAAAAACTCAGTATCATTAATTTCATAGTAAGCCTTTCGAGTAACGTATTCCTTCATAAAATTTTCGAAGAGTGTCTCAGTGATCAGAACTTCGAAGAGAATAAAATAACGAGGCCCCTTCAGCGAAGTCACTAGGCTAGCCTGCTCATTACATCAGGGAAGTCAAAGGTCATGGAGTGCCGTGCATTACCACAATGCTGCTTTCGTGAGGGTGCTAGCTCACAGAATTCGATACAGGGCTTAAGCATTATTTATAAAAGTGTGATGCTAGTTACAACGTCTTTCTAGTCCTCATGATCTTTAAACAAAGAAGTTGTTACCAACTTGCGTGAAGATTCACCCTCAAAAGCAGTGAGGTGAACTTTTTTTAATAATATCATTTATTTATCTTATCAGGCCTACCCCAATTATTTACTGGATAAAAGAAGATGGAACACTGCCCATCAACCGGACATTTTATAGGAACTTCAAGAAAACTCTACAGATCATTCAGGTTTCAGAAGCAGACTCTGGAAATTACCAGTGTATAGCCAAAAACCCACTGGGAGCTATCCATCATACCATTTCTGTCACAGTTAAAGGTATACAGTTGTTTCAAATGCATGGCTCTTGCCTTCATGAGAAGTCGTAAATCTTCAATTACATACACCTTTGATCTGATTCTTCAATTAATAATAAATGTAAATTCATATCAACATTCCTGACACCTTCTTTTCTCATTGCTCTTTAGAGTGCGTCTAAATCAGGTCAAAAATTCTCTTTCTCAAACCTTCCTCATAGAAGAATTCCAATTAATAACTGTAGAAAGAAGGAGGGAAACCAGAAATCACTTCAAGGAGAAACGGGGGCTCCCCTTGGCCTCAAAGTATTTCTTGTCACACACACACCCCAAAAATTAATTATGGAAGCAGGTTTAACATATTTTCACAAATTCTTCACCTTTCCTCTGGAAAGGAGATGAAGCTGAATTTCCCTACCCTTGAGTGTGGGCTGGACTTAGTGACTCACTTCTAATGAATAGATTATGGAAAGCAGGTAAATAGTAACTTTACAGAGAAACCTGGCATATATCACCTAAACCATGTGCTCAAGGTTAGCATAAACAGTAATAAGTCATGTTGGTATCGTGGACCCCCTAAAATGATGCAGTAAGAGGGATCCATCACCCAAAACCTCAGTCTAATTATGAAAAAACACCAGACAAACCCAAGTTGAAAGACATTCTATGAAATAACCGATCAGTACTCTTTAAAAGTGTCAAGGTCATGAAAGACAAGGAAAGACCAAGAAACTGTCAGATTGGAGGAAACTAGTAAGGCGACAAGACAAGTAAAGAAGATGTGGTATCCAGGAGAGGGTCCTGGGACAGAGAGAAGCCATCAGTAGAAGAAGATGTAGTTTAGCTAATGGTATTGTACGAGTGTTAATTTCTTGTGTTGATGACTGTATCATTGTTATGTAAGGGAACATTAGAGAAAGCTGGGTGAAGGGCTCATGGGAGTTCTGTATCCTAACTTTGCAACTTCTCAAAAATGCAAAGTTTTTTAACTTCTTTCCCAGGTTTATAATTATGTGTATTCTGCAGGGCTCAGAATCTAAATTCATGTTTCTTAGCCCTATCTGTACCTGTAAATTGCTCTACAAACCTTAGCAAAATCTGTTACCTTTCTAACGTCTGATTAATTTAATGTAAAGCGAGATGGTCTTTGTATCAAAAGGTTCTAGAAATAATACATAGTGGTCTGTGAATCTCTTGAAACATTCTTTTGAAAATCTGAAGTGTTCTTTGAGGCATCACTTATAAATTTATTTACTCTTAAAAAAGGAAGCTAACAAATGTTTTGCAGATATTTTTATTATTAAAATAGTTCAGCGTACTAGATTTGCTAGAATACTTGTATGATTCAAATGTTTGTGGGTTTTTTTTCCTTTCCTTCACAAAGCGGCTCCATACTGGATCATGGCACCTCAAAACCTCGTGCTGTCCCCAGGAGAGGACGGGAGGCTGATGTGCGGAGCTAATGGCAACCCCAAGCCCAAAATTAGCTGGTTATCGAATGGAGTCCCAGTAGAAAGTAAGTTGCCTTCACAGGCTCTGCGGTTGCAGTCCATTTTCAGAGCGTAGCTACATCTCAACGGGGAACAGGTTGGGGTGAAATCACTGGTGGTGAGGAAGGAAGCCATGGGTAATTTAAAAAGAGGCACCAAGTTACCTTTGGATGTTTATTTTATGACCTTTAGATATTCTTTATGATGGAGTACTTTGTGCCCTTAACGTGACGGTATGTGTTGATTAGGACTTGGCAGTATTTCCTGTTTTTTTACATGGATCCTAGGAAGAATGACAGGGTCAGAAAGAAATATTCCCGCAGAGTTCAGATGATCATCTCTGTTCCGAAGGTCGAGTGTTTTGTGGAGACAGCACAGGAGTCCGAGGAGACACGGAGGGGAGGCTGTGACGAGAATAAGGGACACAGCTGTGGTCATTTAAAGAGTTTTCATTCCTAAGCACAGCCCAGATGTTCCCCAGTTCTCTGGTCTTCAGAGGTCACTGTCCCATTTAATGCCCACAGAAGAACATATCCTCTGACCGTGACTACATGCAGGACCCTCAGTCTTTGATTAGTCTTCCCTCCCCAGGTATGCCGAGCTCACCTGGAGCAGTACTGACACAGGCCCGGCTCCTGTGGGCCACCTCTTCAGCCATCTTCCCTGGACCACTCGTGGCTCTCGCTCTCTCAACCAGCTTCTCCAGCCTGCCGCCATGCTGCCCAGAACGGTCCCCCAAAGTGTGGCCACAGGCCCGTCCATTAATCTTCTAAATCACAGCAGACACCAGCTTTACAAAACCTGGGGGAAGGCTTGCGGATAATGGAAGGCTTGAGGATGATGGCAAAACAAAACAAACCTAATATCGGATATTGCCCCTCCCTGCTCCCAGATTCCTAAGAGGGAGAGCCCACCGGCTCTCCTTTTGTCCCGGCCTCAGCCACCACCAGCGGCTGCTTGAAGGAGAATCTCTGCACATTTTCCCCTTCTTGGAGTTCACACCCAGACCCAGAGAGAGAGAGAAAGTTGGCTTTCGTTTAAAACCTAGACTCAGGCTCACCCTCCAGCCAATAACATAATAATTAGCAAAGATATTCTTGACTCACAATAAAGACAACGTTCAGGCTTATGAAGTAGAGCAGCTTCGCTCCTCATTGCCTCCAAGCCAGAGACAAATATTGGTTCTACTTCTACATAACTAAAAGGTCCATTAAACTGGCTTTTCTGAAATAGTCTTGACCCTAGGATGGATCTGAGAAATGCTGGCAGATTTCCGTGGCTCAGTCCCTGTGGCTCACCATCCAGGTCTTACAATGGCAGGTCTAGACCAAGGAAGAGCTCCCGATTCCATGAATTTTATTAGGAATTTGTGTCACACTACGCAGTAGTTATCAGATACTCTAAAACAGACAGTCTGTGTTTACTGTAAAAGGAAATTACGTTCCTGGGAGAATACAGATTCCACAGAGGCCAGCAAATGGGGCTTGGGTATTTCTGCTCCCAATTTTAACCATGATCGGGATCAGGAAGAAGTGCAGAGAGTATTTTGTGGTTGTGCATTGGGAAGCTGTGGCCATGAGTGGAATCAGAGAAAAGAGGAATACGGCCCAGACCTAAAGAAGTAGTTTTATGGTGCACTCTCTGATTTTCCTGGGAACGCGTACAAAATGGCAGGAAAGGCTGGAGCGTGCTCAGTGCTGCGGCAGCACGGTTTGGAGCTTTGGAGGGTCTGTGCCCTTTGGGGAGGGTTAACCACACACTTGAGATCTGGCCTCTGTGGGACTGACAAGGCAGTGCCTCTCAGGGAGCCTTGTGGTTCCAGTTAAATTAAGAGCTTTGAAAGGCACTCATAGACACTCCCCTTTAAATGAAATATCTGGGTGCAGGATCAACCTGGAAAGGCCTGCCTGGGGAGAGCGGAGGCACAGGACAGCGGTCCTGGGATACAAGTTAGGCCCTTCTACCGTAATCCCAAATCATCTGATTAGGTCCTGAGCAGAAAGTTGGAACAAAATCTCCCAAATCGGTTTCCAAATTCGTTCATATACCAAGGTGATATGAAGCGTCTGTGAATGGTGGCTTCCTCCACATCCGGTGGCCAGGCTCAGAGTGCACGGGTTCATGTGCGGGATCTCATCACTAACAGGCGATGGGCTTGCGACAGCTGGTGGGGACCCTCGTAGCTCTCTGCACAGTGGTCCTACAGGACCACCCTGTTCCCTGCCCCTACCCCCGGCAGCTGATCTATCTACAGACTCTGCTGAGCCTTGACTAGCTGAGTTCAAAGTGAACCCTACCTGTCTCCCCTCGTGTTGACCTCCCCTGCTCCAACATAAGGAGTAAATGTGGAAGAAAACGGTCAAAAAATCGGTAGAAGTTTAAAGAGTGTTGCGCCTCTCCCCTTTCCATCCTGTTTGATAATTAGCCTGTGATCTGGAGACCCCAAAATTGAATTACCTTTGAAGTTTGGGGGCCACTCTAGACATGGAGACAGGCTTGTTTCCTCTCTGCAGCTTGTTGAGCTGTGCACCCCACAGATGCCTGCAGAGATGGAGCAGTGGGGGACAGCAGAGAGGCAGGCTGGGCGAGGGATGGCACAGTCGCCTCAGGACTTGGTGGGTGGAATTGGCATGGCGAGGGTTCCTAAGCTTCAAGGGGGCCTCGTGTAGACCCCAGAAGTTAGCTGGGACCACCAGCTGTGGTGGCCACCACACCTTCCCTTAAGAAGCTGCAGAAACCTTGAGGGGGGCAGCTGCTGAGAGCAGGTGAGTCAGAAAGGCCTCAGGAATTATAGACTTGGGGTCTGGGACAAGGAATGTAGGTGGCCCCCGGGAATACTGCATTCTTGGGGTACCTGGCTGTCTGCCGCAGCTATAGTTCGTTTCCCAGACCAGTGTGACATCTCTGTCCTCTGCTGTCACGTACTGATGTAATCTTTGCCCTATTAAAGGAATCAGAACTTGTATTTGTCTTCTGGTTGGAAGAACATGTTTCTTAAGGCATTTTGAAATGTTTAGAGTCCTAAACAGCAGAGATGAGCTAAGAAGCTGACCCGAAGGATCCTGGCCTACCCCTACCACTAGACGAACTAACTGGAGTGTCTAAAGTGTCGTTATAAATTAGCTATTGATTGCAATCAGAGTGTCGAACAACCACATAGAGAACTGTCGGATGGTAAATTTATGTGGTTTTAAGCCACTAATTTTGTAACTTGTTACAGCAGCCATAGAAAACAAATACAGTGTGAGTGGGCATGTGACTACTAAGGCTGAATGACTATAGTTTGGTTTACCTGTATTAAAGTGAGTTAATAAGCCATAGGTGAACCAAATATTTGAGATTTGCAAGGGATAAAGGCATCTAAATGCAGTGATAACTATGTCTTAGATGTACCTCCCTTTCCTGTCATCAAAGAGAAAAGTACGGTGTTTGGAGTGGAAGCAAAGCCTTCTTAAGTGGGTCAAGTTGCAAGAGGAGATTTCAGGGAAAAGGTGCTATTATGGAGTGTTGATTTTGATCCGCATGCTGAGGCAGATGCCTCTTGCCCCTTTGAGTGTGCTTTTAAAGCAATGTAAGGTCACAGCCTGAGGTTTAGCACTCACAGATGGGAATTTATCTCCAGGAACACAGCACTTCCACACTGCTGGGCATGACCTGGACTAAATTCCTACATATTATGTTACATGCCCTGTTCCACTCCACTTTGGTAAGGATCAGTCCTGGTCCAGACTTTTTTTTTTTTTAATGTACTTGAGAGATTTAGCTGAAAAACACATAATTTCACATGATTTGTTTCTGCCTCAGTCTCAGGAATTTCTGATACAGGAAAATATTTTCATATTTGATGATTAGCCATGTATATGTCTTTATGTTCTTATTTGTTTATTTCAACGAGAGGCTCATCAAGGATACTTAGCCTAACAGGAATTTCTGATACAGGAAAATATTTTCATATTTGATGATTAGCCATGTATATGTCTTTATGTTCTTATTTGTTTATTTCAACGAGAGGCTCATCAAGGATACAGGTTTGGTAGAGCTAGAAGGTTTTATTTTTGACTAGTGTTTGCTGTCTCCTCTTGAGAATTAACTTGCCTCCTCATGAAGAACCATGGTTTCTTTGTGAACAAGGCAATGCTTTCCCGAATGTGTATTTCTGTTTTCACATACCTTGTGCTTTTTCCCCTGGATCTCTCAAAATAATGTTCAGTTTTACAGAATCAATCAACTTAGGACTGAATGAATATCGAGTATAATGTGCTGATAAGTGATAACCAAAGTCAGAGGAGGGAAAATTATGATTTCTGCTCCTTCTCACTACATATACCTCAATCGGCATGTATTTCTGTTCTACTTACTAGAGTGTAGGCCTCACACTTTACATCTTCTAAGCAGAGAAGAATAAACAGATGCTTTATATTTTTACACCCAAACAGTTGCTCCGGATGACCCCAGCAGAAAAATAGATGGCGATACCATTATTTTTTCAAATGTTCAAGAAAGATCAAGTGCAGTGTATCAGTGCAATGCCTCTAACGAATATGGATATTTACTGGCAAACGCATTTGTAAATGTGCTGGGTAAGCTCTCCCTTTATTAAAGACATGGCCAGTTCAGTTAATGACCGCTGTTGTTCTCAGCAAAAATACAGCGAGTGTCTACTGTGTGCGATGCACAGAGGACTTGGAGCTGCATGGGTTGTATGAAGGTGGGTAAGATACAGATCTTCCCTAAAGGGTATGGTACTCTGGCCTTTGTGTTCTTTTGTAACGCAAATCTTTGTGGCAAATTGTTTACTGTAGATGTAATCAAATAGACTACTCCATCCACAGATGGTTAGGCTAAGTGTCAAACCCTCAAAAGGAAAATAGCATTAATCTGCTATTGGTAACTGAATGTTACTGCCACTCCATCTCTAGAAACTGGTAAGTTCAACAACAATCTCATTCTGATTTTTGAAAAAATAAACCAGTCATTAATGTTTGGCCTTTATCCTCGTCACAGATGTACGTTTATTTATTAATCCTTAATAATACGTTTAGAACACTATGGTAGACTCAAACATCTTCTGAAATGTTTGGTGCTTTGTTTTGATTTTTTGAGTGTAGTTGACATACAATGTTACGCTAGTTTTGGGTGTACAACTTAGTGATCTGACAAATGTACACATGATGCTTATATTCACAGCAAGTGTAGTTGCCGTCTGTCCTGATACAACATGATTACAGTATCATTGACTGCATTCCTGATGCTCTGCTTTTATTCCCGGGACTTAGCCATTCCATAACTGCAGGCCGGTCTTTCCTGCTCCCCTTCACCCATTTTTTTTTTAATTTTTAGAATTCTTTTTTTAAATTTTATTATGTTAATCACCATTCATTACCTCATTAGTTTTGGATGTAGTGTTCCATGATTCATTGTTTGCGTATAACACCCAGTGCTCCACGCAGAACGTGCCCTCCTTAATACCCATCACCAGGCTAACCCATCCCCCCACCCCCCTCCCCTCTAGAACCCTCAGTTTGTTTCTCAGAGTCCATCGTCTCTCATGGTTCGTCTCCCTCTCCAGTTTCCCCCCCTTCATTCTTCCCCTCCTGCTATCATCTTCTTTTTTTTTTCTTAACATATATTGCATTATTTGTTTCAGAGGTACAGATCTGTGATTCAACAGTCTTACACAATTCACAGCGCTCACCATAGCACATACCCTCCCCAGTTTTGCCCAACTCTGGACCCCTCCCCTCTGGCAACCATCATTATTTATAGTTCCAATCCTGCTTTTGTTTGTTTATTCTTTTTTTTTTTTAGATTCCACTTATTGGATATGAGTGGAATCATGGGTTTTGTCTTTCTCGTCTGACTAATTTCACTTGTCGTAATACTATCTAGGTTCATCCATGTTATCTGAAATGGCTCAGTCTCATCCTTTTTAGGGCTGTGTAATATCCCATACACACACACACACGCACGCATGCCACATTTTCCTTGTTCATTTGTCTATTGACGGACACTTAGGTTACTTCCATATTTTGGCTATTGTAAACAATGCCGCAATAAACACAGGGGTGTATATGTCTCTTTGAGTTAGTGTTTTTGTTTCCCTGGGTAAATACGCAATAGTGGAATTATTGGATCATATGATATTTCTATTTTTAATTTTTTGAGGAAACTCCATACTGTTTTCCGCAGTGGCTGTACCAGTTTACATTCCCACCAACAGGGCATGAGGGTTCCTTTTTCTCTACATCCTCGCCAACACCTGTTGTTTCTTGTCTTCTTGATTTTAGCCATTCTAAGGCATGAGTGATATCTCAGTGTGGTTTTGATTTGCGTTTCCCCGATGATGAGTGATGTTGAGCATCCTTTCATGTGTCTCTTGGCCATCTAATGTCTTCTTTGGAGAAATGTTTATTCAGGTCCTCTGCATGAAATGGTTGGTTTATGTGAATATTCCATTTCTCATACTGGACAAAACTACTGAAAACATCAAATTTATTAAAATTGTATGTGAGACTTGTTTTCATGGCTCCAGGGAATTATATTTCAACTCAATAAGTGTAGTATGCTCCCTTTCAAATGAAATTAAAGTCAGGAAGCCAACCAGTCCTCGGTATGTTTCCTTCATGCTTGAAATGGAGGCCAATGACTCACACGCAGAGCTGAGCACACGTGCAGTGTTGGTGGGTGTTTGGGAGCCAGTTTCTGGTTCTGTTTCAGGTGTCCACACCTGAAAGTGGCAGCTTTTCTGCCACTGTGTGCCTGTCACCCCTCCTACCCCACCCCACCCCCCTCATAACCCCAGGGTTAGCATGGGCCAATCACTTAACAAAGATGTACTCGGCCATTATTTTTGTGCCAGATACCTGACCTAGTTTCTGGGAAGAAAACAATAAAAGTCCCATTCCCTGCCTGCAAGGGACTCACAGGGTGGTAGGACATCTAGATAAATAAAACACTAAAATACCGTGCCTGAGCAAGATGAGATGTGGGGTATGAGGCAGAAGGAGAAAACTTGTATTTCTCCACCTTGAGATGCTGGTGGTGTCGTACCTGATAGAGAACATAAGGGGAGAGACGTAGTGGTTATGCTTTACTGTAAACTTGAACAGCCTTTAAATGTAGTAAAATACATGGTGGGCCTAAATGTTTGTTTTATTTAATATTTACTTTACCTTTTTAAACTTTTTTTTAGCTGAGCCACCACGAATCCTTACATCTGCAAATACACTCTATCAGGTCATTGCAGACAGGCCTGCTCTACTGGATTGTGCCTTCTTTGGCTCTCCCCTGCCGACCATTGAGTGGTAAGTAATGGCTCTGTTTGCCTTTAATATTTATGTTTGCTAAAGCCTTCAAATTTGTCTGGGTGTTGGGTTTTTATTTATTTGGAGGACAGGGCTGACTCCATCATACTATTATTAAATTCATTTGTAAAGATGTATTAACTACTTGCTCAGTGCTAAATACTTCCACATGTATAATCTATTCAGCAGCACACTTTGTCAGGCACAGAGGTGTAAGGAAGTAGGTTTGTTGAAAATTTAAGGTACAGTAATATGTTACAATGCCATGAGTACCACCTGGGACTTTGCAAGGAATGGTGCGTGGAGACTGTTGGGGGTACCCTCCTTGCTAATAAAGGATCCTCTGGGGTCGGGGAGACGTTCTGTAAGCTCCAAACCAGCATTTGCTCCCCCACATGCCACTCAGGACTGATTTGCCTGCTTACTTTAGCCTGAGCTGGGAGGCTCAAGGCAAGGATGGGCAGCAGCTCAGAAGGAAGGAGTGAAAGAAAATTAGAACATTCGTTTCCCAATCGTCCATCAGGGACCAGACACAGAGCCGGGCTCCCCCAGCCAATGTGAGGGCAAAGCCAGGTATAGGATTAAGGACAGTCTCCCCAGGTCTCCACTGTAGCCGCAGAGAGGAGAAGCACGGTGCTTGGGCAGACGGCATCCTGGTGAGGTCTCTTAGGTTGCTTAGGTTGTTTTAGCTTAGGGTGACTTTGCCTTGCCAGTTTTGTCTGACAGTAATCAGGAAGCTGAACGGACATATACTTTGCATACAGGCTTTCTTGCTTTTCTTCCCTGAGTATTTTCCTATTCATACAAATAAAAAATTTCTTTAGAATTCAAATCAAGTATCTTCTACTCAAGTTGGCTTTAGAATTGTAGCCTGCAGATGGACTTACGAATATGTCCCAGGAGGGAGAAAAAGGCCAAAAAGATCCGTCATCATGTTGCCTGTTTTATCACCCATGTGGAGATAGAATGGGTAATCATGTGTGTATTAAATATGAAACTGATACAGAAAATTACAATTGAAGTATTTCGTATTGTTATCCTGATGCTTCAAGCACCACTTCTCATGAAATTTTCCAGTGTTACATCCTGCCTTCCATGGACCCCACTGACTTACAGGCATGCAATCTGAGACATCTTTTGCAGATTCCAAACGTCTCTGAACTTGATACTATGATGCACATCATCATGTGCTGACCTCGAATGTGGCATTTTATGTCTGACTTCAAATTATGATTTTTTTATTCCCATTGTGATAATTTCTGTAATGAAGGTTCAAGGGAGCTAAAGGTAGTGCCCTTCGTGAAGATATTTATGTTTTGCATGAAAATGGCACTTTGGAAATTCCTGTGGCCCAAAAGGACAGTACGGGAACTTATACATGTGTTGCAAGGAATAAATTAGGAATGGCAAAGAATGAAGTTCACTTAGAAATCAAAGGTAAGGCGGAGGTGATGAAGTTTTTTCAGGTATTATGTGACTTTGAGCAAATTCTTCAGCTTTGGCAATGGATAACAATAGCTAAATTTCAGATGCAACGAGGATCATTAAACAGCCCGAATATGCAGTCATGCAAAGAGGGGGCACGGTGTCCTTCGAATGCAAAGTGAAACATGATCACACCTTAATCCCCACCATCACATGGCTGAAGGACAACGGTGAGCTGCCCAATGATGGAAGGTATTTGAAGACCATTTCTTTCCTTTCTCCTCCCTGCCTTTTTGAGCTTCTCTGAACTAAAGGTTTATCATAGAGTGACTTACCAGTGGTGTTTTTAAAGTTTCTGAGATCTGGTCTCTCCAAAAAAAAAAAAAAAAATGTGCATTTTCTCCCTGCTGCAAAATGTGGGGACCTAAAAAGGTATCGAGTTATTGAAATCAGACCCTGAGAATGTTTGTCTCTTTGTGTTCTGGTCTCCTGTGTAATTCAGGATGGGAAAAACCTTTCAGGCCTTGGATGACTTCCATTGTTTTCTACCTTGTACAGTGAAGTCTCAACAGATGATGTTTTCATTACCATTCTACAAATAAGCAGAAATGTGATTGCTTTAATCAGCAGAGTGCGCCTAAATCCTTGTCGTTATTTTAAAGGACACCAGTTTTCATTCGGATAGGGAATTTTCTTTTGATTTCACTTTGGCCAGTAGAAAGAGAAGGGGGAAAAAACAGGTAAACTTTTTAAAATAGCCTAAACACGTTGCAGTCCTTGAGCTTGGAATGGAGGAAAAGTCATACCCATTTTCTGGGTGAAGCCTCAATTTGAATGAATAGGTATAGAGCTGACCTAGTGAATTTTAACTGTCACAGAGGCTACAAACATTGCCCCCCTAGTGGAAGAAATGCCATGTGCTGGTGGAAATGCTCCCTGTGGTTTGCTTGCAACTGTTCCTAAGCAGTGTGTGTTGCTTAACTGCCCCTAAACACACACACACACACACACACACACACACGCACACACACACAAAACTATGTGACCTTCTCCTCTATACTCAGGATTTCCATCTAATTTTATGCTTCCAGCTGGCCAGGTTTTTATTTTTTTTTTTTAAAGATTTTATTTATTTATTTGAGAGACAGCATGAGAGAGCACAAGCAGGGAGAAGAGGGAGAGGGAAAAGCAGGCTCCCCACGGAGCAGGGAGCCGGATGTGGGGTGTGGGGCTCGATCCCAGGATGCTGGGATCATGACCTGAGCTGAAGGCAGACGCTTAACTGACTGAGCCACCCACTTGCCCCCCCACCTGGCCAGTTTTATTTGTGGAATCTGAGTTGGTAAAGATGAGAAGGAAATAGAAAGAAATGACCGTCGAGTGAAGGTGGCTAAAACTTTAACTTGGAAATTCCCTGCAAAGACAGTGAATGATTTATGCATCCTCTTAAAATCATGCATGAATCCTATTTACATGGATTTTTGACCTACTGAGTAATTTCTCATGCCAGCTAGTAACCTCTAGAGAACTCTCCGTGGCGCTCGCTGATCTAAGTCATCCTGTCCCCTTATGATAAAGTTGATACTATTCTTTGCATTTACTTACTCCCATGAGAGTTCATGCAGCCGGCAAAAATGGCACAAAATTTCTGCAGTCAATGATAAATTATTTTAAAATACACACTTTGTTAGAAATGGAGCTGAATGAGTGGTGTTCAAATGTTCCTTAGCAGCCGAAGCCACAAGAGAGCCTGCTCGTAAGGGTGACTGCAGCTGCCCCCCCCCCACCTCTGGGTGCCCCCCTAGTCTTCAGGGAAGCACCTAACCTTCCAGGGGTGTGCTTGAAATGACTTGACATCCCTTCTAACCCAAGCTTCTAGTCCATTCTAATTGTCTTCCAGCTTTTGTCATGATCAAAGTGAGACATATTTTTTGGATTTCTGCTCTAACGAGCTGCAAATGTTTGTCCTCTCTGTCTCTCTTTGTTTCAAATTCACAGAGTTTCTTTCATGCCAGTAAAGCAAGCATCCATCATGTATGGTCAGGTGTCCATTTCAGCTGCTCTGAACCTGTTTTCTTCACAGGTTCACTGTGGACAAGGACCATTTGGTGGTGGCTGATGTAAGGGATGACGATGGTGGGACCTACACGTGTGTGGCCAACACAACTCTGGACAACGTTTCTGCCAGTGCTGTGCTGAGCGTTGTTGGTAAGAACTAGAACACACCCAGCACTGCATGCTGCCTTGTGTTAGGTCGGAAGGAAAACTGTCCAGAGTCAATGTTTGCTTGTTACAGTTTTACAATTTTGTAGGGGAATTAAATACCTACACTTTTCTTCTTTGAGAGAGGCCTTTGAGGCAGTAATTTCAGTATAAATATACTACTGTAGCAGCACTGGAATAAAATGATGGTTGTGCGTATTAGTGATTTTTGTATAAGAAAATCGGGAGAAATAATGTACTTTGATTTAAGATTGAAGGCGTCCCGCCCCCCACGTTGTTACTGCATGTTTATCAATGCCGTGTCCCACAGCTCGCGTACAGCTCGGTTTTAGATCTTAATCATGGTCAGTCTTTGTCTTCTTGTGCTATTTTATATCTTTCCATGACTAATTTTGATTAAAATCCTTTATATTAATGTCCTTTCTAGCTCCTACTCCAACTCCAGCTCCTATTTACGGTAAACTAATATGAGTCTTCTTTCTCTATTTTCTGTCAAACAAGTTCACATGTGCAAAAAATAATAATAATAATAAGTCCTCTCTTTTCTCTACCACATCGATTGTGTTGCTTTAAGGACAAGGGCTCTGTCCAGCGTTCTGTTCTGTTGCTCATTTACTGCCATAAATCATTTTCTTCATTATAGCTCTGGAATGTTTCACTGAGTGTAGTACCACTCATTGCCAAATATTTCATGTGTTATTATAAAGTCATTTCATTTGATAAAAGTCCCTTTTTGGTATAATTGCCTTGTAAAATAGCATCATGCTTTTTCAAAAGCTGTCCTCCACTGTTTCCAGAATGAAAAAAAAACTATCTCAAAGATCATTCCACAAATCAGGTTTTTATTTCAGGCTATTAAAAGTTGTTTTGGAAACATGGACATGTTTTTTTTTCCAGAAATTTACATAGGAAAACAGTGAATGTTTAGAACATTTGACCTTTGTATTAGAGAAAAACAACTCATTGCGTTAGAAAACATAAATCACTAAAGAAAGACCAAAAGGAGGGCACTTCCAGGTTGTGTGACTTTTCTGAGTCTGGAAAATGAATCAGAAATTATTTCCAGAACTCTTTTTGATTAAAGAAACTTCATCTTTATTCAGCCTATAAATACAAAAATTAATTTTATGGCATACACTCAGCTGGATTTTACATAGTGTCAATAGTTAAGCTATAGAAGAACTGCCCTTGGTAGATGTTTACTGTTTCTTTACTGATAGGAAAGAAGTGCCCATATTTTTATATGGCTTCTGGTTCCCCAAGAGCCACAATCACTCCCAAGAGCAAGGTCAGGAAAAGCCCAGAGGGAAACGTTAACTCTCTGGATGTCAGACGTACCATTTGAAGAGGCAGACCATGCTTCCGGGACACCTTTGTCCCCACAGGTGTCTGTACCCTAGTGTCCTCTGAGAATAAAGACACCATGTCCCCATGGGCCCGCCTGACTTTTGTACTGAGCATCTGCATGAGGTATGCATGCTGAGAGCTACTTATATAGCATCAATCTTAGAATTCCCCTAAAAATATAAATATTCTCCAGGAGCTCCAAAATCTATAATTTCACATGTTTCAGAAAGAACATTGAGGTCTTCTTAAGCAGTACATTATATTTGCCTGTATTGGTCTTTTAGCGTTTGCTGTTCTGTCTCCCATTTATTAGAAATTAAGCTTCAATATTATTTTTTCTGTTTGTGCTCTTCATGTCTATGAGAAGACACATTGAGAGTGCTGGTGAACCATGTATGCCCACCTCACTGGTTTTGGTCACCAGTGATTTGGTTTCATTTGAAAAAGGAGCAAGCGGAACTCCTTGCTTGAAGACCAAGGAGGTCTTGGGTGTGCTTGTGTGTTCCCAGCAACCTCAGTGGCTCCCATTTCATTTCAGATGCATGCTCATTAACCATTAAGTGTGCTGTTTCTTTAAGATGCCCCCACCCCCCACACCACCCCCACCCCCAACCCCATCCCACCCCCACCCCCCGTGAATAGTATCACAGGTAAAGGAGAACCTCATAAGAATGGATGGGTAACGGTGGTATGTGTGTTCGGTCTACAGATGTCCCAAATCCTCCCTTTGATTTAGAATTGACGGATCAACTCGACAAAAGTGTTCAGCTGTCATGGACGCCAGGCAATGACAACAACAGCCCTATTACAAGTATGTCATAGCCTTGTCTTTGTCACCGATACATTTCACCACCATTTCCCAAGCACTTTATCACATGCAATTGAAATTCCTTACAGAGATATTTGCTGGCATTCTCTGTTTCATTACTAATAGAACAAAAACGTTGATCACTCTCCTCTCTTCGGAGACTGAGTTATTCCTGCTTACTGCCTCTGGGATAGGACGCCACTTAGTTGCCAAAGATGTGAACTAAGCAAATACACTTTCCTTTTGTGTATGCGATCTGTCAGAATCACCTTAAATCTCCCCCATAGTAGGATGACGCCTTGTAAGCTATTCATTTTGCCCATTAATGCGGGAGGAAAGGACAGGAAGACCAGGCACTGGTCTGCCAGTGTGTGTTAGGAAACTGAGATTTGGTGAGTAAAGTGATTTTGCAGACCCACAGTTGGTCACAGAGCTGGGTGTGGACAGTAGGTCTATTACCTTCCAGTGTGGGCCTCTTCCCTCCCCTCAGCCCCTGCAAAAAGAGGCACGTTCCATAGTGTCTGCTCCTCGCCATCGGGACATTAGCCAGGGGAGCAAAGTCAGGGGACGGACCCCACTGTAAGGATACTGGAAGAGCTTCGTAAAATTAGACTCTAGAGGTGCTTAGACGTTTGACAACTGAAAAGATACTTGAGAGAGTATCACAAGCCTGTAATATATTATGACCTTCAGGCATATGCTGCAGGAAAGCTAAATTCCTTTCTGACAAGTACCTCAGATTACTCTGAAGTGATGTGTGTGTTGATTTTTTGCACCCACTGATAAAGCAGAGTCTATTTCCGATGAAATTCAGCAAAAACTTCCTCTCCATCTTGTGTTATTTCGAGGTGTTCTTTTCTCAGCTGAGTATTCGGTCCTTGCTCAGAACCCTTAATCGTTCGTGCTGAGTCTTCCAGTTAATTCAATACAGTAGCCAGATTTAGCTGGTTAGGATGCATGGAGACCCTTTGTACCTATATTTAAATGATACCATTAGATTCCAAAGCATTTCTACTCTTTCATTCATTCACTCATTCATTCAACAGATATTTATGGAGTGCCTATAATGTACCAGGCATTGTTCTAAAACAAAACAGTCAAAAATCTCTGCCTACATGGAGCTTATATTTTAGCTGAGGACACAAATAAAATAATATTAATAATAATATATTATGCTGTTACATATAATATCATTATATATGTGTATATATATGTAAAATGCAATACACATTCTATATGCATATATATGTAGAACACACACACACACACACACACACTACTTAGATCTTCCTTCAGAAGAGAACCTGCCACAAGGGGTGTTGACAGCAGTCTCCTTCTGCCCCTTCCCCAAGGATCTGCTGCAGTGTGCACATGAGGCCACACTCTTCCTGAGCTCCAGCAGCAACTAAGGGGTAGAGTGTGAACTGGGCAGGCCTTTTAGGCCATTGTAAGGGTTGGAAGTCATTGGAGGGAACTAAGTAGAGTGATTAATGGATCACTCTGGCTATTCTATTGAAAACGGTCTAGGGGCACCTGGGTGGCGCAGTCAGTTAAGCATCAGACTCTTGGTTTTGGCTCAGGTCATGATCTCAGGGTGGTGAGATCGAGCCCCGTGTCGGGCTCCGTGCTGAGTGCAGAGTCCGCTTGAGATTCTTTCTCCCTCTGCCCCTCCTGCTCATGCGCGCGCATGCTCTCTCTCTCTCGCTCAAATAAATAAATCTTTAAAAAAAAAAAAAGTGAAAATGGTCTATAGAAGAACAAGAGGGGAAGCAGGGAGACCAGGTAGGACCACAGTTCTCTGTGAAGTACCCTGTAGAACCTCAGCAAACTCACAAGGGTGCCTCGGGATATGTTTTAAGTTTTTGACTTTTAAATTTTGATGTTTAAAAAACAGTCACATCTATCAGACGCCACATGAAGTACGAGCTCAAGGCAGCTTACGGTTCCCCTACGATATTGTAGTACCATATTGTGATGATGCCGTGCCTGCAAAGCCTTTGCTGTGGTAAAAAGCAAGTACCACATGAAAATCAGCGTGTAACAGGGAATGAGGAAGGTGGTATCTTAACAAGGTTCGAGAAGCTGTGCAGTGCCGAATAGGTTTTAAGTTGTGAAGGCATGAAAATTTATTAAGTTCTGTGGACCTAACTACTTATGTGGAAGTGTTAGATATTTCTTTTGGCCTAAGAGAACCATGAAGAAAATTACTGAGATGCTGCGTGCACCATGAGCTGAGAAAATCTGGGAACTCATGAGCTGGGAGGTTTTGCAGTGATTCACAGGAGAGAGAGAGAGAGAACAGTGGCTTGGGTTAGGGTCAAGAGGGACGGAGGTGCTGAACAGTGGTCAGAGGTTTTAAAGGTACAGCCAACAAAACTATGGAGAGTAGGAAACAAAGAGGGGATCTAAGACGGGCTTCAAGGTTTTGAGCTGAGTTGTCACTGCCAGCCGGGGAGGAAGATAGGCATCATTCCTGGCCGTAACCAGTGTGCCATGCTGTCAGAGAGAAGCAGATGGAGTTGTTGAGTCAATGAGCTGCCCAAGTGTGCAGTTCACGGGAGAGGCAGGGGCTGCCGAGAGAAATGTGCAAGTCACCAGTTTATGGGACTGGAGATCACCAGCCAGTGAATGGAGATTGAAAGGCGAACTCAAGCTACTTAGCTTCGGAGCCCTGGAACACAGCATTTCTACTTCGTCTTTATATCTGTAATTCACGTCATGGTACATGGGCACATTATAGGCAATTAGTAAATATCTAAATACCTATTTTTTATGAGGGTAAACCATATACATGCCACAAATTTGTAGTAGATGCAAAAGGGTATGCACTGAAAAGTAAGTCTTCCTCCTACCTCTAACTCCCACTTTCTCCAAGACCCCAGTGTGTATCCTCCAGGAGGCAATACGTGTATATTCAAGTGTATAGGTGTGTGTGTATGTTACAGCCCATCTTTGTGCTCTTACCCAAGTGTTCCACACTGTTCTGTATCCTACTTGGTTACACTTAACAATGTAGTTCAGGAATCATTCCATTTCGGTGGCATACGGAGTAGCCCCGTTCAGTTTTTACAGCTGCAGAATATTTCACTGTGTGGATACACCATAATTTATTTGATCGGTGTCCTGGTGCTGAACATTTAGGTTGTTTGCAATTAGCTTGTTTCAGCTGCAAACAATGCTGTAATGTGGATTCTTTTTCATGTGCCTCTGAGCATATGCATGAGCACATTTATTCAAAATAAATTGGTAGGAGTATCGTTTCTCAATCAAAGGATATTTGAGTTGAATATTGTGAGATGTTCTAAATTGTCCTCTACAGAAGTTGTGCCAATTTACACTTCCCAGGAAGAACGTAGGAGAATGCTTGTTTCCCTGTGTAACAGTCAATAAAGTATGTTGAACTTTCGATTGCTGCCAGTCTGTTTAGTGGAAAGTAGTATCTCACTATCTTTAATTTCTCCTATTATGAAAAAAAAAAGAAACCCTAACCATCTTTTCATATATTGAAACTTTCCTAAGGATATGGAGACCACTTCTAAACAGATTTAAGTAATTCAACTCAGCATGCTAGAGAAAGAGTACTAAATATTATTGGGTATGCTTAAATATTGAGGATACTGATAGAACTCTTAAATCAAAATGTTCTTACAGAATTTTTCTTGAAAGTGAAATAATCAATGTTCAGCTACTCTTGTTAAATTGTTCTGTTCGTTATCCTCGAACCTACCCTCGGGTGGCTGACCTCACTGTCTTGGGTTCTGTGTGTGTGTGTCGTGGCCAGAATTCATCATTGAATATGAAGATGCAATGCACGAGGCAGGGCTGTGGCACCACCAAACCGAGGTTTCTGGAATGCAGACCACAGCCCAGCTGAAGCTGTCGCCTTACGTGAACTACTCCTTCAGAGTGATGGCTGTGAACAGCCTCGGGAGGAGCTTGCCCAGTGAGGCATCTGAACAGTATTTGACTAAAGCCGCAGGTAAAGTGAGGCTTCTGTGACAGGAAATGAAGTTTTCCACTGTTTAAAAAAAAAAAGATCCAAACTTACACATATGTGGCTGCTTAACTTCCAGAACCTGATACAAATCCCACAGCTGTGGAAGGACTGGGATCAGAGCCTGATAATTTGGTGATTACCTGGAAGGTGAGCGCAGCATGAAGGCTTCAGCTTTTCTCAATGTATCTTAGAGTGGGGAAAAAAAAAAAAAGTGTTTTTAAACAATGTCTTTATTGGGGCGTCTGGATGGCTCAGTTGGTTAAGCATCTGACTCTTGATTTCGGCTCTAGTCACGGTTTCAGGGTCATGAGACTGAACCCTGCATTGAGGGGCTGCTTGCGATTCTCCCTCTCCCTCTGCCCTCCACCCTCCCACTTGCGTGCTGTCTCTCTCTCTCTCTACAAACAATGTCTGTATTAAAATCCCATTTCATCATTTGGGGGAAAAATATGTATTACATCTCTTTCTTTAAGAGATATTATTGTGTAGCAGTTAAAAGCTTAATCCTTGGAGCCCAAATGAATGGATGCAAATCCCAGCTTTGCCACTCACGGTGTGACTTTAAGCCAGTTGCTTAACATCACCATTATGTATCTGTATGATGGGACTAGTCATAGAACCAACCTCACACAATTCGAGGAATAAATACATATAGGCCCCTAGAACAGTGCCTAGCACATGTATGTGCTCAACAAATGCTAGCTGGTATTATCATCATCATAGAGAACCATCTAGAAGACATGTACCAAGCTATTCCAAGTAGTCAACTTCTTCTTCTGCCTCTGCTTTTCTCTCTCTTTTTTCTGGTTTATTCATATTTTCTGGATTTGGAAAATTAACATACATTCACTTGGGTGATTTTAAAACTTATTTTAATAGACCTATGCATGCACACTTATATGCATACGTACTCGTACATATTTATATACATACCGATGTGTAAAACAGGATAGACTGACAAGCCAATGTTTTTTTAAGATTTTATTTTAAGTACTCTCTACACCCACTCTGGGGCTCGAACCCACAACCCCGAGATCAAGAGTCGCACGCTCCTCCGACAAAGCCAGCCAGGCGCCCCGACAAGCCAACTTTTTTTTTTTTTTTTTTAAATAAAGAAAGAAGCAGTTCACAAGCTTCTGGCTCTAAGTAAAATAGACAATGATGTACTGTCACACAGACAGGGATATATAAAGGAAACTATGTAACTGAAATGCTCTGTCACCCATCCTTGACTGTGGAGCCAGAGTTTGAGAGGCTTATGTGGTATGTACAACTTCAAGATAGAAATTAACAACCTTTGAAATGTTGATCCCAAACAAGCTTTGAATCTCATCATGAATGAAAAAGATAAAAAGGTCCCTGGAAGGCATTGTTAATAGCTAGCATTTTAGCATTTCAGTGCTCACTTTCCTTAAGTCTGGGAATTGAATTTTGGTGTTCCGGGGAGAAGGTTGCTCAGTCTATTTTATAGGCTCTGATTATTTGGCTTTTCTTACAGCCCTTGAATGGTTTCGAATCTAACGGGCCAGGACTTCAGTACAAAGTGAGCTGGCGCCAGAAAGATGGTGACGATGAATGGACATCTGTGGTGGTGGCAAATGTATCCAAATATATTGTCTCAGGCACACCAACCTTCGTTCCATACCTGATAAAAGTGCAGGCCCTGAATGACGTGGGGTTTGCTCCAGAGCCAGCCGTGGTCATGGGGCATTCTGGAGAAGACCGTAAGTGTTCGATGCTGTTTCAGTGATACTTTCCTTTATACCAGCAACACAGACTTACCAAGGTGCAAGCCAAGGCCATGTCCAGGGGGTGCGTAGACTAGGAGGGACGGAGGTGGCAATTATTTTGCTGAACATTCCTGAATGCAAACAGCCTGCTATGTAAAAAATAGGTTCAGAATGTCAAGTGTCGTTACTTTTAAAAAGATACATTATTCTCACCAAGTCAGATGAACAGATACCAAAAAAAAAAGAAAAATCTACTCTCAATCCTTGATAATCCATAGAATAAAGTTGGGTCATACTTCAAGCCAAAATTGTTAGTGGCATTTTTGCATGAAATTGCAAAATAACGTTGATACTTCTGCCCCCTTTCCTGTTTTTCCCTAGTCCCAATGGTGGCTCCTGGAAATGTGCATGTGAACGTGGTGAACAGTACCTTAGCTGAGGTGCACTGGGACCCCGTACCTCTGAAAAGTATCCGAGGACACCTGCAAGGCTATCGGGCAAGTGAAGGGAGATTTTTTTGCTTTTTTTCCGTAGGAACAGGCCTTCAGCGACTGCCAGATGCACTTCTTTTGATCGGAGGCCTTGAGAATTCATCTGGTTTATCACCTCAGACAGGCCATGTCTCAAGAACCCCAGCTAGAGCAGAAGCAAAACCTCACTGCATCCAAAGTGGTGGTGGGGGGGGGAGTGTAAGAAAGTTTTTCTCCATTTTACCCCACAGATGGCCTAAAATTCTTCCAGCTAAACAATTAACAGAGGCACAAAATGGGGAAAACTAGTGTTTAAAAAACAAAAATACAACCAAATGCACCTAGCTTTAAAGCAATACTGACCACATGCGTTAAACACACAAAATTGTCCTGAAAATAATGTAGGCATTTTTTTTAAAAAATCATTCAGATTATACTTCAAACTCATATAGTCCCAACAGGGTCATTCTTATGACCATCATTTATCTTTGTTCTTGGGAAGCACGGAAAGACTGATGCATAGAGATTTGTGATGGATGTGCCAGGACCTGGTTTTGCACCCACAAAGAAAGTCACGGCTCTGGTTCGTTAACACTGACCCCCTAGAGATCACTTTTGGTACTGCATCATATTCTGTGTGGGGGTTTTTTTTCTCTAACATTGCCAGATTCTGGATATATGTTGACTTCTCTTTAAACTTCTAAGGAGAATTTAAGAGAACTTATTAAACAGCAATTCTGGGTTTTTAGCCAAAGGTAATCAACCCTTCGCTTACCCATCTTTCCAAAACCTGTGTCTGCCATTTAATACCAAAAAAAAAAAAAAAAAGTATTTTTAACGAAGTGATGCAGTTTGGCTTAGTGAGAAAGCCCTAGACTTGGCGTGGAGGATCCACTGTGGCTTTTGATTGCCCAGTGGCTGGGGGCAAGCCACTCAGAGGTCTGGGGTTCATCTGTGCTAAAGGAATAATAATAATAAAAGCTTCACCGTGGCTTTTAGGATTAAACTAAATGATATATCGTGCGTGACATTGTATTAGCTCTGGAGGAGTATGTAAATACTGGCCAGTAATTTTTGTTTTTAGAATATTTTATATAAGTAAGACGCTTCAATCATTCCATCATCTTCCATTCCCTGATGTTCTAGAGAGATCTGTGTGGGTGTCATGCTGTTCCATTTATTTCACTCATGCTCCTCCAACCCATTAGTCTATAGCCCAGCTGTATCACATAGTCTCAATTCCATTTCCCTCATTATGTTTAGGTTTCTACTGTCTTGCCTCATAATCAATATCTCTCAGTTTTGCCAGGAATCTTCTTCTAAAATGCACCAAGGACATTATCTAGGATACAGCCATAAGACTTGAATCTCGTGAGCAGGAGGAATCTTGTTTGCTCCCTTACCTGTCCCTGACTTTTGCCCGTGCTTTCAGATTTACTACTGGAAGGCACAGAGTTCGTCTAAGAGAAACAGACGTCACCTTGAGAAGAAGATCCTCACTTTCCAGGGCAGCAAGACTCACGGCATGCTGCCTGGGCTGGAGCCCTTCAGCCACTACACACTGAACGTCCGCGTGGTCAACGGGAAAGGGGAGGGCCCGGCCAGCCCCGACAGAGTCTTTAATACTCCAGAGGGAGGTAGGGGGCGGACATGACTGAGATCCTAGAACATATGGCACATCCTGAGAGGCTTTGCATTACAGAAGGGGCCCCACAAAGCTGGCATCTGTCAGCTCGTATGTGGCCCGAGGGTACGTGGGAGGCTTCACAATGCAAAATGCTGCCCCAAACCATCCTCTCCTGACTTAAGTTTTCCTCCCCACTTAGTCACACTGTCAGAAACCTTGTTAATTTGATGTTTATTTGGGTCATTAACTTTCAGTTCTGTAACTTCTCTAACCCTCGGTTCCTTCATCTGAAAAGCATGAGCACTGATGTGATAACCTAAGAAAAGCACCTGGGAAGAAAAATAATCCTATCATTTGTAGTTGACTTCTTTCCCGGTGCACCTTCATCGTTTCTGCTGAAGTTGAGATGAGGTAGAAGGTTGGAAGTCTTGACAAAATGGGTTGGGAAGAAAAGGAAAAGCATTGCAAGAAGGGGCCATTGTAAGGGGAGGGGGAAGGAGGATCAAATATCCATGGATGCAGGGGTGGAGCACAAGGCATTTGGACACAGGGACACAGAGCCTAGCAGATGAGGGAGAGAGGGACAGTAGAGTAAGAAAGATAAGGATTCATCCATTTGAATTTTGCTTCAAGCCCATATTAAAAATGAGCCAGATAACTTCTGTGGATTCCTTAGGTCTTTTTGATACAAGTAGTTCACCGACAAACTGGGTCCTGGCTCCTTTGAAGGGCTCACGATGTTGGCACCTGCCCAACATCCTCCGAGGGTCATCCTGTGTCCCACTCCCATCCTATGGCAATTGCTTGTCCTCAGTCTGTTGCTCCTTCAGAGGTTAAAGGCTTCTTCCTCTTGAAGCTTTCACTAGTGAAACCTCAGTGCTCCTTGAGATGGTTCAGGGAAGGTGTCATAGTAGAGATGACCAGCGAATTAAAGGATAAAGAAGAGAGGAAGTAGTATGTCCACACACATGATGGTATGAAACAATATGGCTCCTTCAAGAACTATAAGTGATGTAGCCAGGAATGGTGAGGAAAGAGGGGAAGGTGAGCAAGGGAGGCCCCATACCATGGATGGTCTTACATGCTATGGGTATTAACCTGGAAGCCAGAGGCTCTTAACCTGAAGACTGTAGTCTCCTAGGGGGTCAGTGAATGGGTTTAGGGAGATCCATGAACCCCCTAACTTTATTTTTTTTTATTTTTTAAAGATTTTATTTATTTTTTGACAGAGAGAGACACAGCGAGAGAGGGAACACAAGCAGGGGGAGTGGGAGAGGGAGAAGCAGGCTTCCCGCCGAGCAGGGAGCCCGATGTGGGGCTCGATCCCAGGACCCTGGGACCGTGACCTGAGCCGAAGACAGACGCTTAACGACTGAGCCACCCAGGCGCCCCATGAACCCCCTAACTTTATTTGCAATATGTGTTTACTTCTCTGGGGAGGGTTTTTGGCTATCGTCAGATTCTGAGAGGAGTGGCTTAGGGAAGCTGAGAACTATGTGCCAGGACTCAGGCACAGGCCACTGAGGGCCTCAAGTGGCGCAGTGGTAGAGAGGGAATGGATATGGTTGAGATGTACGAGGTGAAATTGACAGGATGTAGTGTCCCAGGAGATGGAGGAAATGAGGCAGAGGGAGAAATTCGGGTTGACTCCTTGGTTTCTGGCTAGAGTGACGGGAGAGACGGGGTGCCATTAATGGGCCTAGGAAATATGGTGGGTGTGTAGAAAAGCTAGCGACCATGAGGAAGAGCTGCCTCCATCCATCATCCTCATGAGGAAGTGAATAAAAGAAGACCAGGCATTTGTCCTCAGGTCACATATGGCCAGCCTCAGCCATAGTGGACCTGACACCCTGCGGGTTGTCCCCAGAGTTTGGCGGGGGGGGGGGGGGACGTCTGCCAGCACCGCAGCTTTTGTTCATCACCACGAGATTCTGGGCGTCTGTCAGCTCTCCGGATAAGAACCACTCTGCACCTGGGCAGGCTGGCTCATGCCCAGAGCCCAGCAGGCAGGGTGTTCTGGCTGCTTGGAGACACCTGATTTGTTGGAGAAAACAGTTCTTAATGGCCCAGAACACAGCTGCATCTACCCAAAGGTCTGGTTAGAATAGTTTCACCAGTTTGCTTTTATTAAGACACCATTCACAAAACAAGTACCATCTCTTTTAAAAATATTGGTTTGGATTCATCTAAAGGCAAAGTCTTTATGTATTTTGGAGGATGGCTTTAATGAGTCTAAATGGAAATGATGAGAAAAAAGAGGACGAGATTAGCTGGATGGTTTCTCATCACAGGTGTCTGGTGTATTTTTGGCTGAATCGGGAGCAAGAGTGGGTTACAGAAAACCTTGGTGAATGGTGTGAACATGGTGTAGCATGTCACCTGAATACATTCTGAAACATCCAAAAACCCTTTTGTTGACCCTGTGTTCTCACTCCAAGTCCCCAGCGCTCCATCCTCTTTGAAGATTGTTAACCCAACACTAGACTCCCTCACTCTGGAATGGGACCCACCGAGCCGCCCAAATGGCATTTTGACTGAATACACCTTGAAATATCAGCCAAGTAAGTTACTGGGAGAAGGAAAGGGGGGAATATGATTTCAAAAGGAAAAAAACTTAGCTGTTTCCTTAAAATACAAACTGGTTATTTCTTTAGTGCTGTAGAATATATGCATATACCTTCAGGTGGTGTTCTAGAAGGAACTTCACATCAGACTTTCTAAAGACATATATGCTGTTGAAAATCGAAAATCAAGCAGTCTGTAGAATCCTATAGACCTTTGACCATGGGGTGGATGCTATTGTTAGATTAGGTAGGCATTAGTTATCTGTAACTAGAAAATGGTAAAAAGAAAAGAAAAAAGAGAGAAAAAGAATGGTTCCTTTGGCACAAGGCCTCTGAGGATGAGGTTTGGGGTTATCAGTACATGACACCACCTGCAAAAACACAGAGAAAAGAAATGCTATTGGAATCCACCCATAAAATTCCCCTCGCTTATAAGCGGGTGGGGACTATATCTCCCCCCGTTTTGCAATCGTGTAGAAGCTGTAAACGGCTAACGACAGTTATGTTAGGCAAGGAGTGAAGAGGATTACGCAGGGAATGAAATCCAAGTTTGACATTTTCGCTTGACACATTTATTTGTAATAGTATTCCTACAGCAATTAATGGGGAATGCACTTCTCTGTTGTCTCTTATTGCCAGTTAACAGCACCCACGAATTAGGCCCCCTGGTGGATCTGAAAATTCCTGCCAACAAGACACGCTGGACTTTAAAAAATTTAAATTTCAGCACTCGGTACAAGTTTTATTTCTATGCACAAACAGCAGCAGGATCCGGAAGTCAAATAACAGAGGAGGCGGTGACAACTGTGGATGAAGGTAAGATGCGTATGTATAAAATTGACGGAACTCTTAGGTGTCACGAGACCAGGGTCTTTGACCTGAGCGCATGCCTTCTCTTTCTTGTGGAGGATCCATCTTACCCACCTAATGCGAACACTTGTTTGTAATTTCCCATCCTGACATCTATAGAGTCAATTATTTAATTCATGTTAGGATAACTATTGGATATTTGTTTTCCGAGTCTGTGTGAAATTTTTAAACTGGCATTAAAATGTTGAGGTGAGAGTGGGAAGTTACAGTATTTTGCCACCCAGGAAGGCAGAGTTCAAGGCAATGTGTTTTCCTGTCTACAACTTAACATGTGTACATACACACACGTACATACACGTGCATGTGATACACACATGTATGCGCACACCGCCACACATATCCTTGTGCAAATACATAGATGTAATTCTAGTCCTGGTCTTGAGACACCAGAAGATAGTTTGCTAGGCCACGTACTGGTTGAGGATTTCTAGCAAGGAATGTGAAACACTAATGAAATAGTGCATTTGTTTTGTGTTTGAGCACGGGACTTTGTATTTTGGTATGCCGTCTGGTACAGAGAAAGCAAAATAGTCCCATTAGAGTATCAAGAAAAGGAATTAATACTTCCTTCCCGACTTTAAAAAAAATTATTTTGAAAAAATTTTGATGCGATGAAAATGTCCAAAAATTTTACAAAAGATTTTCTGATTTTGCATGTCACTAAATCGTAGAATTTCTTGAAGGTTATTTATTTGATTATCTTCCCTAGCATGAGGAATTGACATTTCTACCCAAAAATTGGTTTGAAATACCCTAAGCCTTGTTCCATAAGAGGGGAAATATGATAATGCACCTTAAGGAATGTGTGTACTTGATTGCTGGGTAAGCTTGGTAACACCAAGGTGACACCTGGTAACACCCAGGTAACACCTGGGTAACACCAACATATCTCTGTCCCCTGTACCTGATGTGGGACACTTCATTCTTCTTGCATGCTTTGGCATTTTAATAAGTGTTTTTATATCGCTTTACATGCTCATGGGTGTGTTACATCTAACTATATAGTGTCCTATTTCTGTTTCCCTTCATTAAAGCTGGTATTCCTCCACCTGATGTAGGTGCAGGCAAAGGTAAAATCATTCATCTGCATGACTTTATACATGTGTGAAATTTGCAATGTTAAACATGGCGAAGTGCAGCATGGGTTAAAAAAAAAAAGATATAAAATGAGCTTTGAAACACCAAATGGAAGAGAAGATCTTGGAAGATCTTGGCTTGAAAATTCATGTCTAGTCTTTTCCACAAGTAGAAAGCCACACACTGAATTCTACTAACCCTTCTTCACAAGACCCATCCCTGGAACAAACCCTCATCTTCACTTTTAATGACGGGATTGGGGCTGGATCAGACAGGACCCAAACTGTCACACATCCTCTCTGTGGCCACACCACATGCTCAGGGTTCAGAAATATTCCTCCCGTTCTGCAAACAGCCTGTAAGAACTCGGATCAGCCGAGCTCTCCATTCTCATCTGATTTAGCCCTACTCCTTGTAGACACAGTGTCCTCTTTGCTGACACGACACCACACTGTCCATTCAGAGTTCCAGCTTAGTGATGCCCTCCAACTGGCCCTGAACCCACAGTCTCCCCACCAGGATCCCTCTGAGCAAGTCTTCCTGTCAGCCTGCATGCTCTACCCAGTTGTGTGAATCCATCCTGTCTTCACCACACCGCACACATCTCTTCCCCCTGGGGCAGAGTGGAGTACTTTTGTTCTCCTTTGTCTCTCTCAGCTCTCTGGGTGAGAAAGCTGTGTTGGGAGAGCAGTGCTTAAATCCACTGGGATAGGTCTTCCCCCCGGAGGCAGTCCCGAAGATCCTCCTCCATCTTTGGCCCTTGGCCCTTGTTGATCTGTTAGCTTTTTCAAGAGCTGGGAGTCCCAGCCACAGGGCACTGTTTTCCTGTGGCGTCCCCCTGGCCAGGGGTGGTCTTGGACTTGGACAGACTTGAGTACAAATAGGAATGAAGAAGAAGACCAAGAGAAAGAAGTGCCTTGCCCGAAATTACTCAGATCTTGTGCGAGTACGCCTGATTCAGATCTTCTATTTTTTTTTATTTTTTTTATTTAGAAATCTGCTTATATTCATAGCCTTGGTAAATAATAAACTGTAGGGCGCCTAGGTGGCTCAGTTGGTTAAGCGACTGCCTTCGGCTCAGGTCATGATCCCAGAGTCCCGGGATCGGGTCCCACATCGGGCTCCCTGCTCAGCAGGGAGTCTGCTTCTCCCTCTAACCCTACCCCCTCTTGGGCTCTCTCTCTCTCTCACTCTCTCTCTCAAATAAATAAAATCTTTTAAGAAATAATAATAATAAACTGTAGATCAAATAGATTTTGAAGTGACTGAATACAATAGCCACATTCAGTAATCTTAATGTTACCTGTGTGCTTTGAGTCTTGAAAGAACGAAGCTGGGAAAATTCAAAATTTCCACAGTATGGTAGAAAGATATAAGCCTCCCCCTTACATGTATGCGCTTTGCCTGGCTTAATTAGATATCAGTTAAAGTCCTTGGTTGTGTTACAGTAATTCCCTGTTATGTTCCGCTGGTATCCTTTCACTGAAGCATTCCAGAGAAAGCCTGGCCTCCTTCCCGATGGCGGTGGACGCGTCCCTGGGGCTCTGCCTGGAGTCAGTAGCTGCGTTAATTGTGCTGTAAGAGGGCTGTCTGTGAGTGAGCCTGAGTTTCCCACTGACTTGCCGTGTTAGAAGACAGCATGCATTCGCTGGAAAAAAGAATTATGCACTGATGTTAATGAATTAAAACCAATTAAGAGAAATCCTTATTAAAATAGTTTAGGTTCTACCATTTAATGTTACTAAATTGAATTGTGAGTTGCTTACAACAACAATGATATAGTTTAGGTTCTACCATTTAATGTTACTAAATTGAATTGTGAGTTGCTTACAACAACAATGATAGAGACAAGCAAAAATGGACTGTCGGAAGGTTCACAAAACCCCTGATGTTGAAATCGGGTGGATCTCAGATAAGAAGAAAAATAGGTTTAAATGTGTTTTAAAAACCTAAGCCTAACCTTATTTTTTTTCTACATTGCTTCTTTTAATAGTGCCATTGAACATTGCATAAAGTGAAGGCAAATGCCTTGAGACTTTAACAGCTCGAGAAATAATTTGTTATCCTGGGTTTTCTTTCCTTAAAAATAGCTCTTTTTTTGATCTCAGAATGAATTCTATTCTCTGTCCTTTTCTTCTCCATACAATTTAGATACTCTCTGAGAGAGGAGAAAAAGGAAAGTTCTCTATGATCCTACTAAATTTTCATATTTTTATGGTTTTTCGCTTTTTCTTTGAAAGAGGGGCGCCTGGGTGGCTCAGTCAGTTAACTGTCTGCCCAGGGTCCCGGGATCAAGCCCCACATCAGGCTCCCTGCTTGGCAGGAAGCCTGCTTCTCTCTCTCCCACCCCCCCTGCTTATGTTCCCTCTCTTGCTGTGTCTCTCTCTGTCAAATACATAAATAAAATATTTTTTAAAAAGAAGAGGATGAAAGAATCAGAGATGGCTCGCTGAGAGAAAACAGGTGTGATATCCTCAGCTCTGGATGCATCGGCCTCTGGTGGCTTCAGTCCACCTCTTATCGAAGGGAAAAGAGATGCATCCGAGTTTACATTTTTTTAAATTGTCTTACAGATTTTAAGAGATGTTAATGAAACCCAAACTTACAAATATGTAATTGCAAAAAGGAGCATTTAAATCACTACTTAGAATCCAGGACAGTCTGTTTGGCTGTACTGCGTCATACCCACCCCTTCCCTTCCCATGCCTCAGTTGGGCATGGACACACTCCTGAGATCTTTAGGAGTCACTTATTTGGATCCATGTCCTTGTTTGGATAAAGCCTTTAGTGTCTGTGTAAGAGTAGTGGTTGTTTAGCTGCATCTGTTTAATCTCTGTGTCCTTTTAAATAGTTTCAGGGTCTGGGATTCTAGAAAATAAACCTGTGAAGGCATCTATAGAAGTGATCTGAAAAATCACAGCTAACGGATTTGCCTTCTGGGCCAGTGTTGCTGACACGGCTTTACCCATAGCCTTTATTTTCTCATCCTTGGGACCATTCATCAGAACACTCTTGTGAGGTGACCAGTTGGGGTACAGAAATAGGGAGAGACTGACAGGTCAGAAACTGAACATGATTCTTGACATAATTAGCAGCAGACTGTGGTCAGCCAGTCAGGATGGAGCAGAGCTGGGCACCAAGGAGCTGGTGACGAATCCTCTCTGTGGTCAGACTCTTCACTGTATAATTACACCTGAGTTGGTCCCACCACTACCAATGAGGTCAAGAAACAAGGAAAAGCTAAAGAATATGTAAACAAAAATCAAGTTTAAAGTCTGGCCCAAAGAACAACAACAAAATGACTATATAAAAAGTTCAGTCAGTTCAAGTCAGCTGAAGTCTATCTACTGCATAAAATGCACCAGGCTTTTTTAAGGCACTGTGTACCCGGATGGTAAGACAGACCTTGCCTCTGATGTGCTAAAAATGTGGCAGCTGACACCAACACAGTAAAAAAAAAAAAAAAAAAAAAGAGTATAAACAGGGGCGCCTGGGTGGCTCAGTTGGTTAAGCGATCGAGTCTTGGTTTCTGCTCAAGTCGTGATCTCATGGGTTGTGGGATAGAGCCCCAGGTCAAGCTTTGCACTCAGTGGGGAGTCTGCTTGAAGGTTCTCTCAGTCTGCCCCTCCCCCCATTCATGCTCTCTCGCTCTCAAATATATAAATAAATCTTTTTTTTAAAGAAGAGTAAAAATAGATGCTAAACTAGTAATTTGAACAATATTTTATCTAAGCATAGAGGAAGGAACCATTTATTTGCTCAAAAGGATCAAGAAAAATTTCACGAAAATAGTAATATTGAACTGGGCCTGGAAAGACAAATAGAATTTGGACAGATGAGTCAGGGGATTGGGGTGTATAAATTCTTGGTAGGAGGCATAAGCAAAGGCATGGGCTTTGAGAATCCACAGGACGTTTCAGTTGTACCCAGAGACGTGACTGAAGAGGTAGATGAGGCCAGATGTGAATGATCCTTAAGGACCACGAATGTCTTGCTAAGGAAAGAGTGTTTACCTGTGGGCAGAGGTGAGCCATCCATCTTTCAAACAGGGAGTGACAGGATCACATACGTAGTTCAGGAAGCTAAAATCTAGGTAGCTACACTGATGGGATCTACAAAGAAGGACTTAGGGTAGGGAGAGAGACAAGAGACAGGCTTTGCAGAAAGCTCCAAATAGAAATGACACTCGCAGTCCCTTGGCTGGCAGTCCAGAAAGTGGGTGAGTGGAGGGTAAAAGTGAGGAACCTTGGGATTCTCTGTGATAAAAGTATGATATCTTCTCTGACTGTCTTTAAGAATAAGCTAAATGCTTTTCTGTTGGAAGTGTTTCACTGTGCTTCTGCCTTGACCTCTCCCATCAATACACCAAGACTAAATTCCTCAGTTCTATGATTCCAAAATTTCTTAAAGAAAATTAATATTTTGCCTGCGATCTTTACCACTGATGTTGTACATATGTGTTTGTATTTATTGTCTCTGTTGATTGATCATATTCCTATCATTATCTACTCTTTTAAGAGGAAAATCTCAGACGATAAAATCAAATAGCTCCACAGAAGGACCCTAACATAATTTTGTAATCAGTTTCACTCTCTGCTGTTTCCCTTAGCACAGAGGGGTACACTGTACACATAGGATGGTGAGTTATATCTCAGAGGTCAAGTGCATTATTTCATTTCTTCAATATACAGAACTTACTCAACTTATTTTTTTAAGATTTTATTTATTTGAGAAAGAGAGAGAGCACAAGCAGGGGGTGAGGGGCGAAGGGAGAGGGGAAAAGCAGACTGCCTGCTGAGCAGGGAGCCCAATGCAGGACTCGATCCCAGGACCCTGGGATCATGACCCAAACCCAAGGCAGACGCTTAACCAACTGAGCCACCCAGGCACCCAGAACTTACTCAACCTATGATGGGGTTACATCCCCATAAACCCATCATAAGTCAAAAATATTGTAAGTTGTAAATGCATTCAATGCACGTAACTTACCGAAACTGGCTTAGCCTAGCCTACCTGACATGGTCTCAGAACACTTACATTAGTCTACAGTTGGACAAAATCATCTAACACAAAGCCTATTTGATAATATTATTTCATGTAATTTACTGAAGACTGTACTGAAAGTGCAAACGGAATGGTCATGTGGGTACAGGATGGTTGTGAGTGTGTATAGGTTGTTCACTCTCGTGATCGCGTGGCTGAGGGGAGCTGCAGCAGGCTCCCCTGCCCGGCCTCATGAGAGTGTCGTACCACAAACCACTAGCCGCAGAAAAGATCAAATTCAAAGTATGATTTCTACTGAACGCTTACAGCTTTCACACCATTGTAAAGTCAAAAAATCCAAAGTTGAACCATTAAGTCGGGGACTGTACCTCTGTACCTCTCTTTCTGATTCTAAGAAATGCTATTTCATGAAGTTAATTTCAGGAGAGGCCTTTAGCTTCCAAATTCTATAAAATAATTGGGAATTTAATTTTAGAGCTTAAGTCAGCTCTTGGACACTTTCTGATTTACTATCCTAGGATATTTTCTCTGAGATTATACATTGATCTTATTTTTGTGACTACCCAAGTTAATATATCTGTAAGTATGTCATTTTTAGTTTAGGTTGTTGTGAGAAGGCCGAGAGAACGGTCAGCCTCAGATAGCCAAAAGGCATTAGTCTTTTTTTTTTTAAAGATTTTATTTATTTATTTGAGAGAGAGAATGAGAGAGAGAGAGCGCACATGAGAGGGGGGAGGGTCAGAGGGAGAAGCAGACTCCCTGCTGAGCAGGGAGCCCGATGCGGGACTCGATCCCAGGACTCCAGGATCATGACCTGAGCTGAAGGCAGTTGCTTAACCAACTGAGCCACCCAGGCACCCAAGACATTAGTCTTTTAAAGGCTGTATATGTAAACCTTTCCTCAGAATCTTTAAAGACCCGCACTGAGCTGATAAGTAGAACTGAGAAGCAGCCGCCTAGTATTGGGGTTTACCTTGCAGTAAGATTCTGTTACCTCTGCCCCCAGCATTGCTCAGCAACCCTCTCCCCACCCCACATCCATAAATGAAGGCTAATGTTTCCTGGGACTCTATCTAATGGACAACAGTTTACATCATTCAGGACCCATATAACAGAACTCATCAATCTGAATATTGTACATCATTTTTCCTGATTATTCATTTATGTCCTATTCCTGCTTTTATAAAGGAAAACCCTTTCTGTCATGGAAGTGAAAAATGAGTGAACCCTAAATTTCAGCAATAAATCTTAAATTTAATTTTATTTGCACAATCTCAGAGGACTTCATCTTAGTTTATATTTGTGTGTTGGACGCTGCAGATTGATTGCTTGTTTGTTTTATTCTTCTGTTTTATATTTATCTTAAGCCATAAATCCCTGGATCAGGAAACTTACTGCCACAGCTGCAGAGACCAGTGCCAGTTATCAGTGGGGAGTCGGAGGGGCCAGAGCACGTGAACTTTTACCTTGAATATGATGTAGCTGGCAGTAAGAAGCAATTTCATTGTCTGGTTGTTAATTTGGGGGATGCATTTTAAGAGAGTAAGAACATTTTTAAGGACTTACTGTGGATCATTCTGAAAAATAACTCGATCCAATTAAATGAATCCTGTTTATCTAAAAAAATTCTAGTGAACTGAACCATCAAACTGTATGTTTTATACATCGCTAGGAGTCTCTTTTGTTCCTGTTATTAAAAACAAGGGGCGTAATATGTTCTGTTGCATGTTATTTTCATACTGTGGTACTTAAAACTGTTCTATACCCGCAACATGTAAACAAGGGTAAGGTAGCAACAAATTATATTTATAAGTACAAGTAGGAAAGAAGAAAACTCTGTTCAAATTGGACTTTGAAGGAGCAAAAATCAAACTGACTAGTCATTTTGCCCATACCACCCAACAGAATTTTATCAGAAATTTCAGAACATTAACACTTGGAGGGAACATCCATTATTTCAATGTTTCAATGTTTAATGTATTCCCCAGTCAGGCACCAATGTATACCCTGGCCATGTCCACCAGGAGGCGGGGCAGCTTGATTTTTCAGCCACTGATGAAAACCCATGGCCCCTCCCCAGCGCAGCCTGCTCTGCATGTGATAAACTGGGTGGCCAATGAATGTTTGTGACAACAGGTTGAACATGGTCCAGCTTTCTGTTCAGGCCTTTATCACACAAATAAATATTTTTAGAAGTAATTATTCCTTTAGGAAAATGATACTCAGGAAAGGTTGAATCTATAACTTAGACAAATTTGAAAGCATTTAAGTGGGGCACCTGGGTGGCCCAGTCGGTTAAGCGGCTGCCTTCGGCTCAGGTCATGATCCCAGGGTCCTGGGATTGAGCCCTCTCCCACTCTCCCTGCTTGTGTGCTCTCTCTCTGTCAAATAAATAAATAAAATCTTTTTAAAAAGTGAAAGCATTTATGTTTACCAAAAGATTCATCTTGTGAACCCCAAAAAACAATTTTTCCATAGTTCACTTGAACTATTTAATGTATAACAATTCTTTTTATAAACATCGTTAGAGAAACAATAATTTCATAAGGCAAAGTGCAGGTAACGAAGTTTCCTTTGCATTAAAAAGAAGATTTAATACACTGGGAATGTCTACAATGAATATGCAATCTCTATATCCAATCAATTTTTCTTTGAGGACATTTTCATGTAGTTTTTCATTTCAGTTGATTTATTTGGCATGACTAGATTTATAATCATCTAAAACGATAAACCTAAGCAGTCTAGATTTTGCCTTTAGCGTATAAAGAATTTTCCTTTCTTGGAGTGTTAAGTAACTTCCAGTTCCTCAAAATATTCACATTTGTTGTTTTTGCAAAACTCCCACAGACAAAGAAGAATGGAGGAAAGAAATTGTAAATGGTTCTCGGAGCTTCTTTGAGTGAAGGTGCCTAATGCCAGGAACATAGCAAGTTTGAATTGGTGCTGAGGGCGACTCTGGTTTTGTGAGTTCAGAGGATGTGTTTGAGATAGGCCCAGTTGGAGACAGGGGCCTAGTGGAGTTGGGTTGTGGGTAGGGCCATGAATGTCTTTCTGTGGGGCTCAGTTGGGTTGGGACTTGGGGTTTTTAATTGTCTTTGGCTCTTTATATCAAATGAATTACAGAATTGGGCAGATCACCTTCTAATCACGGCATAGGCAAAAACCATTACAAAAACAGAGATAAAAATGATTCTTAACTTACATTATGTAGGTAATTCAATTTTTCACATCCTTTACATGTGTCAAACTTCTCTTGGAGTTAGGATGGAATTTTCGAAATGCTTTTGAAGCTAAAATGATTCCTTCATAGAGTCACTATTTTTTATGTCACAAGGGGACTATAATCAGCACAAACCTGCAGTCTGGTTAGACAACTGAGGTAGAGATTATTATACTTGAATAGAATGAGAAATCGTTCATATGTATCTCTTGTGTCCACACCAAATTTGACTGCCTGCATAATTTTCGTTCTTTGAATGGTATCATAATATGCAACAAGTGATTAAAGTTTCTAAAATAATGTTCATGTAAGATGCAAGAATATTCATGCCAACTCATAAGATGGAGAATAATCCCTGCTGACCTAAATTAAAGAAGGGCTGTGTGGCACAGACTCACTTTGTGATTCATCCATCCGTGTTACTTCTGTTCCATAGCCTCATGCATTCTTGAGGAGATGCTGCATTTGCTATAGAACCCGTAGGCAAAATGCATTTTGTGTGTGTCTTTCATTACACAAGCATTATGATTTTCAAAGTCATGTAAAGTCATGCATCATGTATAAGATCTACAATCACGAGCAGTTTTTAAAACAAGAAATCAAAGGTAATATTTGGTAACTTATCAAACTACATTTTAAGCTATTCGTGAGCAAAAATCATAATGTGTAAAGAGAAAACCACTTTTCTGTAATTTTGTTCCTTGTGTTTTCACAACCGCGTGTGGACAGAGCTCTAGGAAAGCACTGCGTTAGGCTGAGAAGAGGAATATCAACTAACAGTTAGGATTACAGGGTGTTTTTTTGTTAGCGATGGCTTTTAATTTCAAAATACGAAAAGCTCAGGGAGACATGTTGTCCACTGATAGCTGGAAGGCTAACGATAGTCACAGTGCTAGCATTTCATCAGCTCGAAATTCTACCAGGTGACTGGTTTCCAGCGGCTTCTCTCGTTCAGTCTGTCCAGAAATCCTATGAAGTGGGCAGTGCTCCTTCCCCCTTAGGCATCAGGTCAGTAGCATGTCACCGGGCTGGAATGTGAGAGAGCCTTCCAGCGCTGGAGGAAACGCTCTCACGACATCCCCCCCGCCCCCCACCGGGGTCACAGAGCCCACGTCCTGAGGGAAACAGGCTGGACTGACCACTTCGTTCGGCGCTCAGCTCATGTTCTGGTCCCCTGAAGGCTCCGGAGTACACCTAGCTTGCAGCGCTAGCTCGAATTAGATCCCATCTATGACATCAAATGTGATGGTTTTTTGTCCTTTTATGGGACAGAAGGCAAACCCTTTAGAAAAGTTTTTTCCTCCAGTGTTGCCGTACCTACAGTGCTGGCTACAGCTAACAGCTCATTCAAGGTGAGCCGTCGCAGCGGGTGCACCGTTCCTGCATGCCCATAGTGGAGGTAGGATGAGGCCACACCAGTTATTGTCACCTCTGACATATAAATGTAACTATGAAAGAGAGTGTTAATTCAGTACTGTCTCCAAACTTTGGCCAAGGAAATGTTCTTCTCTTTCTGTACATTTCTTAACTATTTTAATTCAACAGGACATTTGTAGGCTTAATGGATTCTTCATAAATAGCCATTTATTCACTCTGTCCCTTCCACATTATTCTGTTATTCTAAGCATTTCCTCAGAGGCCTACCACCACAGGGCACAGGTTGGCCAGAAGACAGCGAGCAATGTGTTGGCAGAACCCTTGTTAAAACTGACTTCTAGGAAACAAAGCAAATTTTATTCCTCTGGCTTATTTTTTTTTTCACATTCTTTATATTTATCTATTCGTTTAATTTATCACTTTATGGATTACTCAAGAAATACATAAACATAATTTTATTGTAAAGATTTAAATAAAGTGAAAATCCTCTTTAATTCTCCTACTCAATCCTACAAGTACCTGCCCACTGGAACCCAGATTCAAGAAGAAAAAGCCCCACAGGCTTCGGTGTGTGTGTGTGTGTGTGTGTGTGTGTGTGTGTGTGTGTGTAACCCAGATTCAAGAAGAAAAAGCCCCACAGGCTTCGGTGTGTGTGGGGGGGGGGGTGCACAGTGGTGGCCATGACTTGGGTTTGTATGTGCATCTGCAGTTAAGATGATTTTAGAATGTCTTGGGAAGAATCGAAGCCTCTCATAGTCATTCCAGGCTTTAGATCCCTTCTTCTATGGATGAGAAGTCAAGAAAAGTTATTTTCACTTACCTAATTTTTGTTTTATACCAACTTCTGGTGCACTTGTGTGTGCCTCTGTGAGTGTGCACACTCACACACCTGTTAACGCGCTGTGTCTGCCTAACCTTACATAGTCTGGTGGGAACATATTTGATGCTTTTTTTCTTTAGACATAGAGGTAGAAATTCAAAATCCATTTGGATATTCCTGTATCGACTGTCAAAGAAACATTTCCACTTTTTGCATAGTTGCACGTAGCAAGCCGCCCAGAGGCAGCTCAGTTGTGGCCACCACCATCTTTATGTGTCAATGTCTGTGCTAGCATTTGGGTATCTTACTGCATCTTGCCCTTATTGGCTGCATTTAGTTGGATGGAAAGTGTAGATGCAGCTACTCCTACAAGGCTATAAATGATTAACTCTTCAACTTCAATCAGAGGCTCAGTTTTGGTGAAAAAGCACACAGTCAAAGACCATGCGCAAATTTGAAAAAAAACGCATTGCCAAGGAGTATGTGGTGATGGACTTTTCAAATCTTTTTGCCTGTCTCAGAATGGAAAGTCCCCGTAGCCTTGTATTTTTCGCAAAGACTTCTGCAGATGTCTGGGCTTGTTTTCCGGAATGCATGAGAGCAGTAGAGCGTTCAGCTAGTATCTCGGGAGTCGGAGAGACTCAGTCCAACTCCAGCCATCAGGCAAGTCCTTTCCATTCCCGGGGCACAGGTGTACTCCTCCTGCCCACCTCAAAGCACTGCTGTGAAAATTAAATCGGATGTTGCCCTCAGCATAGTGCCCAGCACACAGTAGGAGTTTCAGGATGTTAGCTCTCATTATCCCTGTCTTCTTCTCCATCATCGTCATGGTCACGGTGTGTGTATGCAGGAGAGCACAGCCTGCACTCCTGCCTCGGTTGGATCTAGTCATGATACAACTCAAAACCCCTCAAACCCACGAGGCACCAGTGGCCATTGAGAAAGGCCACTGGCATTTGATTTATAATCCAGACGGTGTATTTCCACTTCTCATGTTATTTCTTAACCACACATGCACACATTCTTCACATCCTTCTTCATGCTTGATTTTAAGCATTTCATTTTTCGCCTTCTGCTTTGTGTGGAGAAAAATAAGGCAACGAGGTTCTATTTTGGCCATGGAGGATGGAACCTGGGATCTATGTAGCCATGTTTGTTTCTGCATCCAGAGATCACATATACCCAACCCAGCCATGTTAAATGCACTCAGAAGAAACTCAGTCACATTAAAAGCAGGATATAGGCATGCTTGTGAATCAAAAGAAGAAAACCTTTTACTTTGATTATGGTCAGAAGAAAAAAATAAAAGCCTTTGTAAAAAAAAAGTTTCATACGAATTTATTTAAACAAATCCTCATGGGCATGTCTGAATAGCCATTGATGCTGCACTTTGTCCCATTTGATTGACACTTTTGAATAATACCAGAAATGCTAATTATTCTGTGTTTTTCTTAGGAGATTTGCATACTGGGACTAGTTGAATATGGGGCTTCATGTTTATTGACTCAAACAGAATAGATGAAGACAAAGACTATGTATATATGTGAATGAGTATTTTCTCCTTAAACTGGTCATTTATTCCAATAGTGATTCTGCTGATCAAGCTACCTTTCAAAGTCTTTTAAATGGATCCAAAGCAATATTGAATACCAAATATTGATCCTTTGAGGGTAAATTGGATTTTCCAGAAATTTCCAAAAATCTTTTAGAACCAACTCTTGTAAATGAGATGAATACCAAATCTAAGTAATGTTTTAGGTGCAAATTGAGATGCTATATAAAATAATAAGGCTGGCTGTCTTATGTGGACAGGTTTCTTGTGTGGACAAGTTTTCTTTTTCAATAGAAGATTTCCAAAACATTTTGAAAAATGGCAACATCATTGCAATGATATGTTAGCCTCCAAAAGCAGTTCCTTTGAAGGAAAAATACTCCATTAGATGTATACATTCTGTTCTGTTTAAAATTCAGTCTTACATTCTTACCATTGTACTTAATGTACAGTTTATCTGTAAACAGTACTTTTAAAACTGACTTGGGACTATGTTTCTATTGAGAATATATAGTTAAAATAACTGGGAACACAGTGTTTAGCCAGATTTGTTAGCATTTGATGGTATTAGCATTCAGATTTTGCTATTTGAATTTTTTAAGTAACGAAGGTTTTTCAAAGTTTGTATATAACTCCTGATTGATAACTGACAGATTTCAATTTGGGGCACATGTAAAATGTATAAAAGCTCATTTACTATGGTAATTTTTTACTGCAAGAGACTACAACAGTTCTCATTTCCCCCTTAAACCATGCCCCCTTATGCCACTGATTTGTTTTCCAGCAATGGCAAGCCGGCAGGTGGATATTGCGACTCAGGGCTGGTTCATTGGTCTAATGTGTGCTGTCGCTCTCCTTATCTTAATTTTGCTGATTGTTTGCTTCATCAGAAGAAACAAGGGTGGTAAATATCCAGGTAAGAAAGAAAGATTAAAATTGCCTTAGAACGCTGCATAATTATTCAAAACTATAAAGAAATAATGAGAGTGATCATGTAGATTGCAATAAGCATATTTACCCAGAGCCATAAATTTGGACTTTCTGTCCAAACAATTTGTGATCCCTTTTTTTTAATAATGGGAGCCTAAACATTGTCATGGATCAGAAGGTATTTGGGGGAGTAAATTCATCGGTTCTCTGAAGATTATTAGTGACTCTGCTTCCGTAGGTTCCACCTAAGTCACAAGTGCTACACCTAAAATCAACAGGCAGAGGGGGAAGGTATATGGAATCTTCTGGAGGAAATACTGCATGAACTATCATGATGTGTAACATTGATCTTCCTCTATGGCTAATGTTTTGCTCAATTCAGTGGATCCAATGAATTTAAATTTTCTTTACTTGGCCATTTCCCCTTCAGTGACAAGGAAAAAAAATCTGCAAAAGAAGAGATGTGCTGAAACAATTTGTAACCTTGAATATAGTTAATGAATAGATGGGCCAAATAGGGGAGAGATCTTAGAGACTTCAGACTTACTCCTTTATCAGTAGGATGCTCACAGAAAGTCGACTTTATATGTTAACAAATGTTCATTCTCTTAGGTTGTCTCAAAGAGACTAAAACAGCAAAGTATATGCATGGCCACATAATCCATCTGTTGTGGTACGACATCTGCTGTGTATAGAATTATTTTCTACTGCTATACATCTCAGGCAGTGCACTCTTTAAAACTTTGAATAAGGAAACATGGAATCAATAGGTAATGTTATCACTTTGAAATTTTTTAGTCAAAGAGAAGGAAGATGCTCATGCTGATCCTGAAATCCAGCCTATGAAGGAAGACGATGGCACTTTTGGAGAATACAGGTGAGCCACTGCTTCTGAGCCTCCCTCACCCTTCCCGTCCTGCCCACACACTGTGCTCATACAGACTCCCGCCAATAAGATGAGGCCAGGGACAGGCTCTGTGGCACTGCATATTTTCCTCCAATACTAGTTTAGAAACACTTCCATGTCTACATGGCTACACATCCCCAATGAAAATATTCTCACTTTTCATTAAAAAATAAATTTCCATTTTAGTCGTGGGTCTGGAGACAGAGTACCTTCCACCCCGCCATATTTTTCCAGAGGCATTGCTGTATTGCTCAACCTAGGAAAAGCTGGTGTGTTATAGTAAGAGTTAAAGCAACAATAAAAACCCTACCAAACCTGCATTATAAAGGAAACTACACCTGTCATTTTCTAAGTAGTGAGTTTATAAAATTGGTGTTACTTTTTTTAATCCTGGATTTGATGCCTCTTTTTCCAAAAGAAATACCCATATCCTGTCCATTAATCATGAAAGGATGGCAAGGTTCTTTTAGAAGCTGTAAATTACTAAGAATATCATAGACCTCTAGGCAGTGTGTTAATTCACAGGACTTTGATAATACGTTCTTGGCTTGGCTCCATCATTAGGGATAAATTTTAACATAACCTATGTGCTAAGTAATGAAAAGAGGGGGGGAGAGAGGGAGAGAGACTCTTTAAATAAAGATATTCTTATCTAGGATTTATATGTCTTTTTAAAAAGAAATAGTTGATTATTTTAGACATGTTTAAAATCAGAAACAAGCTCTATATTTATTCCTTTAAAAAGTTGGGATTGGGGTGTTCCAAAGGAATACTTCTATTTATAAAATGCCTTTATACCTTGTTTTTTCTATCAGCCTCTTGATTATAGAAATATAGTCTTTTAAATATGCACTGAGCCCAAATTGAGCCCTTTTTGGCAGATGAAAAGGCTTTTAGGTGAAATAAAATATTTCCCTGTTGTGATTGCCAGATGACATTTATAGATATTTGTGCTAATTTTTACTTATCTCTGGAGCTCATTTTTGGTATTTCCATGTCAGTATCATGAGGGGCTAAGTAATGCCAAGGGTAAGAAATATGATAACTGATTGGAAAAAAACATATATTTTGGATACATTTGGTTTCATATCAGTTTCCATGCAGATACAAGTGTTTGGACTTTGTGCCTCAGCACCTACACCTTCAGATATTCTGATCTTCTCTTCCACAGAGATGATTATGATTTGTAAAACTTCTCAGAATTTCTGTACCTCATGATACAGAAAGATGTCTAGCAAGGGTTGTCTGGATGTCACATGTTGACTCTGGGACTCAAAGTTTGTGGAAGCTTCCTGGGCCACCCCCTCCTCTCCACTCTCCACAGTACACGGTAGGGCAGTGTGCAGATGGCTGTGGCCTAGGGAAGCCATGTGTGACACTGGGTGAGTTATAGTCTTCGCTGATATAATTCACTCTTCTACATGTTTTTCCCGTAAAGCAGGTGAGGCGATAATAACTAAATAACTTCTTAGCGTTCTTGTGGCTAGAATATTACACAAGATAGGCACACCACTCCCTTCTTTATTACAATGAAGCTACATCTTCCATGTAGCCTGAAACACCTCTGTATTGGCATTAATCGGAAAGAAAGCATGGCACCTCCTGCATTCCCGTTGTCCGTCATCGTGCTTAAATCGATCTGGCGATGTACTGCTCGCCTCGTGGCTCCCAAATGTCAGCTTGCTTTTACAGTGGTGTGAAACCAGGGTCTGATGTAATGTGATGTTCTCAGGGCAACCATGCTGCCTACTCCGTAGAAATGGGATTGAAATCGAGGTTGAATAGGAACTAGCCGGGAATCCAGAAACTGTTATTTTTACGGTCAACCCAGCCCTACCCTTGATTCCTTTAGATACGGCACTTGATGTGTCTGGGTCTCCATTTCTTTCATCTATAAAATGATACAGTTGTTCAACTATTAGATGATCCCTGAAGGCTTCTAGTTTCTATGATTTCTAACCTCCTCCACGAGATGTCTGCTAACAACCTTTAATATGATTTGGGCTTCCAGAGCGGTCCATGCCAAGTATTTGATGACTGGCCTCATTATCGCTGTGTTTACATTTCTTTCTCCATATTTCTTTGTCTTGGTGTTCATGCATACATGACATGTTTGTGAAGTGTTTTCACGTGGCTGTCTTTAACTCATGCCTTGAGCTCCTCAGAAGAGAAAGACTTTTCTTTGGGCCTATCAAGTACAGACCCATTGGTTCACATGTGAAGACAAAACTGTTTGTCACACATACAATTACATTGATGTGGGAGGTACCAAGGGAAGGTTCTGATGGGTGTCTAAAACTTAATACACAAACCAGTAATTTTTTTTTTTTTTTTTTTTTTTTACCTAAACTGCCAAGTCCATAAGGACAGTCAATCCCACAAGTGAAGTCACTTTCCCAAGTACCCAACCACCCTTGCTACAGCTGTGGCTTTGTCCTGTGACTTCTTGACACTACCTCAGAATTTTTTCCCTGTGGATTCTTTTCTACCTAAAGAGAAAAAAAAAAAGACTTTTAGTTTCTTAGATGTTATGATGAATGAAAACGGTTCCAACTGTTTATTACAACAGATTTTTTATTTTAAATAATACATTGAAGTGTCATTCTCCTTCCTAAATCACCAGGGTCCCTTCTCTGCTTTGCACCTTCTGGAAGTTTTGAGCTCTGTATTATTTATTGATGCTTATTGTTTTTCATTCTGAAAATAAATTAATATGCGGATCACATGCCAACACAGACAAAAGTAGGGCTATCGCTAAATGTAAATTAATTCTGTTTATGATTTGCTCATTCTCCAGCTTGAGGATGTAACAGTTTCTACATGGTTGGCCCTGAGCCAGGGGATATTTCATAGTGCAAAGAGGGATGGAACTTCAATGGCCAAATTTGATTTTTTTTTCCCGTAAGCTGTAACCTTGTGCCCTCCCTCCCAACTCCCACCCCCAAGCAGTGACCCTCTGGTGGAAGCCTGCAGCTTTCTTTGTTTGTTTCTTTAATTATACAGACAGTAGGATCTGCATCCTTACTAGCATATAGAAAAATCAGAGAAACAATGCAACCAACCGTGTAAGGATTTTTTTTTATTCTTTAGATCCATTCCTTTAAAAACCAGAATGAACCTAGGTCATAAAGACTATGATCATGGTACTTGAACCCATAGCATACATGGAGGCTCTGGGCATGGGAATCTTGTCATTTAAGTGAGTGAACAGTATAAATAATGATGGACGTTTAGAGGGAGGGTTTGGGTCGTGAAGGTCAGTCGAACTGCGGCAAGATTTGGCAGTGGTGGGATGGTGACCACAGGAGAGTCAGACCGAAAGATCACAGATTTGTCTGTTGCTGCTGGATTTTGGTCAGTAGACATTCAATAGGTACCTCCTGTGTGCATAGCCCTGAATGAAGTGCTACTGCAAAAAAGGTGAACTCCTTAAAATTCATCCTGAGGGTAAGAGAAAGGAAAAAATATATATACTCCATTGCTTTGTCGGACATCATGAAATTCACGAAGAATAAAAATTTTCTGATGTTGAATTCTGAAAAATTTCTAAAAACGCCCATCATCTCTTCTATTGTGATTTTACAATGAATTCATTCATTCAACCCGTATTTATTGAGTGCTTACTGTATGCCAGGCTGTGGGGATATTAAAAATGATAGAATGTTATCTCACTAGTAAACTAGTGAGATAGTCTAGAGGGATCCAGGGAATAAAAGAAGAGTCAGCATCGTGTGAAAAGTGCTATGAAAGAGATATAGCTCAGGCTGGAAGCCAAAGCCAACTGGGTGGATGGAAGGAAGGTGAGGTGGGAATCCTTCCCAGAGGACGCGGCGCAGGAGCTCAGTTCTGGTACCGTGATGGGAACATTCCTTTACACTGCAAAACCATCTTCATGCATGGCTATGAGGATCAAAAATATATTTTGGAGCCACATGTACAATTTTATGACTTACTTTCAAATTTGTTGAGTCTTTGTCCTTAACAGTTCTCGTAAAACATGGCTGAATATTTTTAAGCTTTTAATACCATGTAGCTAGAATAAGTGTATGACTTTTAAGTCATCCCTCCGTAACTTCTAAATTCCTCTCGTTTGGGAGGCTGCACTTTCACACTGAAACTTGACAGAGCAACTTCCCTTGACACAATGTCAAAAGCAAGTTTGTTTACTATTTCATTATAAAATTCATCTTTGAGTTGAAAAAAGGCAAGCATTAATACAGTGCTTCAACACAGGATTGTAACCAGGCATCACTCTGGAAACTTCTAAGACTGTGTGTTACACAGGGTATTTGTGAGCAAAAGAATCTCTCTGGGGTGGGGCCTGGAGTAGTGGATCCAGGAGGTGTGATGGTAGACAGATGGGTACTAATATTTGTTGGGCACAAATCACCTGCTGGGAAATGGGCTGGTGCCTCATATGATTGTTTTCCCATTTAACCTGATTCTAACTGAAGTATGACATTACATTGTACCACTTTTTAAAAACCAGTCTTAGGGTGCCTGGGTGGCTCAGTTGGTTAAGCGACTGCCTTCGGCTCAGGTCATGATCCTGGAGTCCTGGGATCAAGTCCCGCATCGGGCTCCCTGCTCAGCGGGGAGTCTGCTTCTCCCTCTGACCTCCCCTCTCTCTCTCTCTCTCAAATAAATAAATAAAATCTTTAAAAAAAAAATAAAATAAAAATAAAAAAAATAAAACCAGTCTTAGAAAGATCTTGAGCTGCCTTGGAACAGCTTTTCCTGGAAAGACTCTGTGTATGGATAGAACACCCCTCTCCCTTCCTTCTCTTCTTTCAAGCACAGCCTACGTTGCTGTTGATTCTCTCTCATCCACTCTGACCATTAAACTGGAATGGATGTGGGGCACCTAGGTGGCTCAGTTGGTTAAGCATCTGACTTGATCTCAGCTCAGGTTGTGATCTCAGAGTGGTGAGTTTGAGCCCCCCATTGGGCTCCACACTAGGCGTGGAGAGCGTACTTAAAAAATAAAAAAGCTGAGGGCGCCTGGGTGGCTCAGTTGGTTAAGCGACTGCCTTCGGCTCAGGTCATGATCCTGGAGTCCCGGGATCAAGTCCCGCATCGGGCTTCCTGCTCAGCTCATGCTCTCATGCTCTCTCTCTACCATTCTCTCATGCTGTCTCTCTACCATTCTCTCTCTCAAATAAATAAATAAAATCTTTAAAAAAAATAAAATAAAATAAAAAAATAAAAAAGCTGGAATGGATGCTTCTAGGGAGCCCTTCTTGGCTGGTCATTATTTATAACTCATAGGATTATGTGTGTGTGTAAAAATCCAAATGAATCAGGAAAATATTAGAGTTCATAAAAGAATTTAGTGATGTTGCTTGACACAAAACTAACATGAAGTCAATTATATTTCTATGTACCAGCAAAGAGTTGGAAAATAGGATTTTAAAAATAATCTCAGCTATGATAGGATAGAAATATGATATAGGAATAAAGCCAACAGAAAGATCTCCCAAACATCTCAGGGCCCTTTGTTTGATTTGTCTATCTTTGCACCAAAACTACACTATCTTAATCCTGTAGCTTTTAGTAAGTCTTGATATCTGATAAGTCAAAACCCCAACTTTGTTATTCTTCCTCAAGAATTTTTTAGATATTCCTGGCCCTTTCCTTTACATATATGGCTGAGAATCAGCTTGCCAAGATCCACATAAAAACCTGCTGGGTTTTTATTGGAAATAAATTGAATTTAAGACCAATATGAAGAAGGTTAACATGCTTATGATATTTGAGTCTGCCCGTCCACACTTAGGGTATGTTCCTCTATTTATTTAGCTCTTCTTTAATAACTGAATAAAACTTTCATTTTCTTCATAGAGAACTTCAAACATTTTTATTGGTTTTGTTCTTATATACTTCATATTTGTATGATATAACCGGAATCATTTTTTTATTTCATTTTCCAATTATTTGTAAGTATGGAAATCAAATCGACTTTTATGCTAATATAGTATTTAGCAACATTACCAAACTCTCTTTTTATTCTAATGTTTGCCTGTAAATCCTTTTGGGTGTTTTACATGAGTGTAACTGTATCAGTTATAAATAATGACATATGTCTTCTATTTCTTTTTGCACATTGCTTAGTACTTTCTATGCAGTTTTGGTTAGAAGTGATGAGAACAGGCATCCCTACTGTGATTTCTGATGTGAAACAGAAATCTGTCAACATTCACCATGAAAGATGATGTTTGCTGCAAGTTTCTTGTGAATACCCTTAATCAGGTCAATCAAGATATTTATATTCCTAGAGTATTGAAGTTTTTATTGTGAATGGGTATTGAATTTTACCAAATACCTTCTTCTGAATCCATTAAAATAATCATAACACATTTTTTCTTCTGCTAAAATTGAAAAATATGAATTGATGTTTTAATGCTGAAACAAACTTGCATTCCCGGGAATAAACCCAACCTGGTCATGCTATGGTATCCTTTTAGTAGATTGCTAAATTCCATGGGCTATGATTTCTTTGGGATTTGCGTATCTAGGTTCCTGAATGAGATTCACCTGTACTTTCACTTTCTCAAAGTGTTCTTGTTGGGTTTAGGTATCATTGTTATATTAGATTCATAAAACGATGAAAGGAGTGGTTCCTCTGACGTAGCAAACTTAGCATGTCCGCAACCGAATTACTGACCTTCTACCCCAAACATGCAGCCTTCCATAGTAAGGGTGATTCCATCCTCTGTGTTGTGCAAACCGGAAATCTTGGTGTCATCTTTTTCTCTATTATTCCACATCCAATCCATCAGGACATTCTTCCGGTGCTGCTTTCAAAATATGTTCATAATCTAACCACTTTGTGTGACCCCGGCATTCCACTCTCGTCCGGGTCACAGTCATCTGACTCCTGTGTTTTTGCACTGATCCCCCTGATCTAGCCCTGCCCCCTCCTAACTTAACTCTGCTCTCTCCACTTCGGTTCCAGCCACATGAGCTCCGTTCCTAGAACGCGCCAGGCTTGCCACCACCGCAGGTCTTTTGCACTGCTTGCTGCACCTGCCAGAATGGTTCTCCCTCCAGCTATCCCCCTGGCTAACTCAGCTCTTAAGTCTTTGCTCAGATGTCATTCCTACTGAGGCCTTCCGTGGACACCCTGTTTCAGTGTCAACTTCTACACCCTCCCCTCACACCTTCCATCCCCTTTACTGAGTTTCGTATTTTCCATAGCACTAATCACCTTCTGACACACTAGGGAGCTAATGTTTTCATATGTTGGTTGTTTATTTTCTCTATTTTCCCCTATTAGAAGTAAGCTCAATGAATTCGGGGTTTCAGTCTGTTTTGCTTGCTGCTATATCCCCAATGACTAGAACAGTAGTCAGGGTAGGCACTCAATAAACATGTGTTAGATGTGTGAATGGTTGAATACATGGATAGATGGCTGGATCAAAGAACTGCCACAGGCTAGAATTTCCTGTCATGTATTCCTTGGAACACTGGTCCTGTAAAGTAAAATGAACAAGTGGAATCCAGGTGACAAAATCTGCTCAATATTGAACACGTGGGTGGAATTTAGGACCTTACCAAGTCATGAGCAATGTTTCGCAGGAAGTATTCAAGCACAGTCTAGAGGTTAATGATTAAAGATGTGCACTTTATCCTCACAGCAGATTGGAGATTAAATGCTCTGTCTCCCGAAGGGCCCCAAACACAGGTCACTCCAAGGTCCTGTGATCCCTCCCCGGTTGTCAATCAGCAGGGGTGATCGTCGTATTTATTAGGCCTGTGACAAGAACTTGGGTCTTGTTGCAGCTGGTAATTTCCAATAGCAGATACCCATTTCCTGTTAAGCAAGTATTATTTTTATAGTGTTGAGATTTTCTTCTTGAAGAAAAATTGAAAACCCTAGTAGGAATTATTGGCCAAAGAGCCAGAATATTTGTGCATCCCGAAATGTGTGTATCTTGGCTAGAACAAAGCTCACTGTCAGAGACGGAGGGTGCATAAAAGCCTGGCACAAATTGCCGGGTGAAATACGGCCGCTGACACAACCTCTTTTTGACAGTACGCTTTTCCACTTTTTAATAATATTGCTTTATGTTTCCTATTCTGCCTTGCATTTTTGTCCTTCAAAAGGAAACAGAATGCTCTTGTGGCCTTTTATCTTTTTCTTTTTTTTAAACCAAATGTTACCTTTTAAAGAGTCAGTCACTGTGCATTCCTAGTGGCACAACCATGTGGGTGGGTGTTCTAAAGCATACTCTCCTACTCCCGGATATTGTGCTAAGGGATTTCATAGAGAAATAAAGGGGAAAAAAATTGAGTTCTATAACGTTTTTAAAATCCTGCTTCTCAGATTCCCATCCAATATGGATAGGCTACATACCACACTGGGAGAAGGGAGCACAGAGCTAAAATTTCCTCTGACATTTTTTGAATCACTCACGCTCTTTAGACTATATTGATGTTCCATTAATAGTGCTCTGAAGTTCAACTGTGTCTCTTTCCAAATTAATCAGTCTTGACCCATGAACTAAAATTCTGACAGAAAAAAAAAATACTGTTTACTATCAGTATAAGGATTTTGCTTTTCTTCTTAGGCTGTTTTCATTTGTTTCTTCTGCATCCTTTTAATGGAATTTCTAGGTCTCTTGAAAGGTAAGGTTAAAGTTTACAGTCTGGCCTGCACTCAATAACAAAATTATTTGAAAAGCAGGATTTTGCTTCCTCTTGCTCAGAAAACTCCTCATATTTCACACTTAACCAAAATCATTCTCCATTCACATCCAAGGAATCTGAGAATCTCACACAGTTTAACATACTAACTTCTCTACTTGCCATAAGCTTTTCCTTTCCTTTGAATTCAAAGTAGTGATGATTTTCACCTTTCCTCAGTTCTTCCTTTTTTAATGCCTGTGACTATTTCTCAATTGCTTCCGAATCGGGAGTGAGAATCAGTCATTGACATTGACGTGCGCAGTGAGAAGCCATCCACCTACTGAAGACTTCATGATTAAACCATTCCTGCACCTGATTTTCATCCCAACCACATCCCAGCCATCGGAGTCCACCTGACGATTAGATTTGGCTAGTGAGGCTCACGACTCCACACGCTTTACCGTAACCTGCATGCATGATGTTTAAGAACACAGCACTTCACCTAAATGCCTATTCCGACGAAAACGTTTTCTCTTTCTTCCAGTGATGCCGAAGACCACAAGCCTTTGAAAAAAGGCAGTCGGACACCTTCAGACAGGACAGTGAAGAAGGAAGATAGCGATGACAGCCTAGTTGACTATGGAGAGGGGGTGAACGGCCAGTTCAATGAGGACGGCTCCTTTATTGGACAATACAGTGGTAAGAAAGAGAAAGAACCGGCGGAAGGAAACGAAAGCTCAGAGGCACCTTCTCCTGTCAATGCCATGAATTCCTTTGTTTAATCTGTAAACTCTCTGCCAATATCCTATTTCTCTAGAATGTTTCTCTTAAGCACTTGTTTGTCTGCCTTCTCGTACTAGGAACACAGAGGCAGAAAGTACGTGTTCTGCTGTGCGTTAATATTATGAGAGCGGTGCAAACAAGAACATAACTCAGATGATTTGTTAATGTGAACTGCAGTGCAAAGTACATCCTTTTTCATTCAAAATAGGTATTCTTGTTCAGAACTGATAAAAATAATACAACATCATCAACCGATCACATTATTTGCTCTTCGGGACACAGTTCAATATGATGCATGAAAAATGCTACACGTAAAGGAATACCTGTGTACCTTATTAAAACATGGTTTGATACTTTGTTTATATTCTCCTCAGCTGAACCCCCGAAATACGAATTCCGTTTTCATTGTCAGGAGTGTTGCTGTAGAATTCTCTAGAACTCCAATGTCTTTGTGGACATTGTGGTGAAATTGGTGACTCTATGTCTAGCTGTCATTAGTCTTTTTGGGAGACTGTTAGCAACAGTATGTACAGGATATCCTTGCTGTATGAGTTCATGACGACCGTCGCATTTGCTGATGCTTTGCCGAGACTCTGTGACCGGCCTCTGCCCCTTATTCCTCCGGGTATTACCGCAGCACAGTGTTCAACTTCTCACATCTTCTCTACAGTCAGTTGTTTTTAGGCATAATGTGTATTGCAGTGCATTGTGGCACAAACACCAGACCAAAAGAATCGAAACGAGTCACTCCACTTCAGTTTCAAAAATGATTCCAGAAAGCACAGGGCAAGACACATGCAGTGCCTTGAGATGGGAAGCATTCCATAACACGCTGCCTTCGGTAGCAGTCGGCACAGCCGATGCAGAGCCCTAGCTTCCTGGTGTGCTCCAGAAGTAACTTCTAGAAAGCACAGGTCCTGGAAACGGCCAATTCTGAAAGAAAGGAAACGTGAAAATAAAATTAATCAGACAGTTGATGGTAAGGAGCATTTCCCCATATGTATAAAAAGAAAAAGCCTTAGCACCACCTGGAGCGCATGCTGATTCTGTGGGTTTTGTGGTTTCTATTCAAGCAAGCCAGTTGGGTCAGAGGGCTGTCGATTTGGTAGGGAATCTTTGTTTAAAAAAGCAAAAAAGAAAATCTATTCCCAAACCAGAAGCAGAAAACAGCATGCCAACAGGAATGCTTTTCTCCAGGCCTTTACCTAGGTGGCAGCTTCTGAAGCTCTCTGCAGCATTAAACAGTGTATATGCAAATTGCTGTGGACACATTTCCGACTCTCAGAAATCTGACGAGTGTTAACAAGGCCAACAGTCAAAGGGATTACGTCTGCAGTTTCCAAAACAAACATACACATCCTACTGTATCCACCAACGATATCTATCAAATGGTTTACCTCCAAATATGAAATCCTCTAACAACCTATGGTTGAAGGAATGCTCAGTTTCATTTGCCAATAAATTGGTTTCTCATAACTTGCATCAAGTTTAATTTTAAGTAAAGCTTTTTATATGTAGATATTTTGTTGAATCTGTAAATACACTGAAAGTGTAGATGCTATATGCTTAGAGGTGTTACATACGAATAAACACGCAACCAACGTTGACGTCGTACTGTCTGAGAAGTTAGCTCACAAATACAGTGCATGGGATTGGAAAGCATTTCCTTAAATACCTTTTGGGTTTTTATTTTCCCTTTTTTGCTGTGAAACTGAAATAGTGAACGCTTTGACATATTGACAGTGAGTTTCTAGATGGAATCTTCAGAGCTTTGCCTGTAAGGCTCAGGAGGCATCTTCACTCTATGTAGGCAGAGCCCAGTTTGAAGTCATCCCAGGTAAAGATGACCCTATTTCCACGGCTCCATATTCCCTTTTCACAGACCAACCGTGCTAATGGAAATACAGAAAACCAAGACAGGCTAGCCTGGGCACCAGTGAGCACAAAGATAAGAGTGACTTTAAGTTTGCCGTTGTTGGTGGGGGGGACAGTAAAAGTACAGTTTTTACTCTTCCGTAATGGTAGGCGCTAGAGTTATCTGTGCATGAAGGGGTCACCTCTGTAATAGTGCAACAGATTTTGTATTAAAAATTAAATGTGGTTTTAAACATCCCTCTCTCTTTTGTAATAAGTCATGTTCCTAGTGGAGTATAAATGTCCAAAGTAACGGTGTATTTAAGAATACAGGCAGATATGACTGGATTTCCATGAAAAAAAAAATCACTATTAAACCGTCTTGATCTCTTTGTGATCTTGAACTTTGTCCAACATCTGTCTCCTAATGTTTTCAAATAGTGCAGATTTTTATTTTTGCCTCTGAAAGCCTGTAACATGCAGAGAAAATTTAACACAGAACCGAACACAGGTGTATACCACGGAGCTCATGAAATAGGGGGCATGCCAAGGAATTTGTAACGAAGAGCAGGTGGAGATATGGCCAGCCTTTCAAGAAACGGTGGGAGAAATCAGGGGCTGCCTCCCTTGCTGAAGCGGGTCCTCCGCGGGCCTGGTTCCCGGGTGCCTGCTGTGCTGTGTCTGCCTGTCCGCTTGGCGGCACCTCCACGCTCCTCAGCCCCGGGCAACGTGGATTCCTGCCCCTCCCCGGCTTGGGGGCATTTGCAAGTCTGGGGGGTCTGTCACCCGCGTCCTCCTCTCCAGCCCCGTCGTAAGCACTGTCTCAGACGCCACACCGTCAGGCAGAACTACGTGTGGCACGGAGGGGCTGGCCGGGGGAAGCCGGACCGCAGCAAGCAGCGGTCCACCGGGGCCTTCCCGCTCAGACAGTTTGTAACGGCCCTGCTTTACTTTTAGTGCCTGATTTTGGAAACGGCTTTGCGGAGGCAAGGGAGAGAGACACGAGGAACTCTCACCCCTACTGAGCCGCTCTCTCCCTCTCACGGGGTTTTCCCGCAAACTACCACCAGAGGGCTCCCGTGCTTTAGTCAGCGCAAAAGAAACTGCGGGAAAATGATGCCTCTGGAGAAAATCGTGCAAAGCACTTTGTATCCTCAGATTGTGGTCTGGCGTGCCGAGAATGATTGCCTGCTGCGGCCGGAGAAGATGGGATTTGCAACTCTCTCTGAGCAGTTCACACCTTCCAGGGAGTCAGTAGGAGTCATTGTGAGCCTGGCGCATCTTCCTCCCCTTACTGATTGCTGGGTGGCTGATCAGCAGGGGGAGGAAGAGGAGAGGCGTGCCCCCGGCTCCCACAAGGCACCCCATCACTGCCACAGGCTGGTGTCCCCTCTTCCTCCAGAGGGTGTCATTTTGTCTGCTGCCAGTGGTCCGATGTTTTGTGATTGGATAACACAAAAGGCACAGTTTAAGGACAGTTTTTATTTTTCACTTAAAAAAAAAAAAGGCACGGGAGAGAATACAACCAGGGTATTTATGGTCAACAAACAAATAGTTCTCAGGTTGAGCTAGGAAGAGGCCAGGATTGACATTCCAACTCTGCCATCAGCCGTGACCGTGTAGAAATCACCCCCCTCCATCTCCCACATCTCCAGGCCTCTGTCTCTCCAACTTCAAAATGACAGAGAGCAGATGATTTCTAGCATCCTTTTCTGTTTAAATCCTATGGTTCCCAATTAACCCCCAATTACCCCCCCCAAAAAAATTTCTAGCACTCACTACAGCCAGGCATTTTGCTAAGTGGGGCAGGTACAAGATGAGCAAAACCAGATGTGGTTCCTGCTCTCACGGTGCCTGATAACCACCCAAATGAATGTGTAATTCCAAACCAAGATGAGCCATGAAAAGAAGGCATAGGTTCCATGAGAGCAAGCGGTGGAGGGGGCTGATGGTGCGGAGTGGTCAGGAAGTCTCCCCTAAGGAAGTGGGTGCTGGGCACAGGAAGGATCCAGAAGGAGAAGGCAGATATATGTCCGTACAGCAAAGACCAGCATGCCTGGAAGAGAGGTAGGGCCCAGGCCAAGCTGGGTCCCAAGGACCACAGGACAGGCTTTCATCTTTATTCAAGGAGCAGTGTAAAGTGTGGAGTAATTGAAGAGGTTAAAGCAAAGGAATGTATGATGAGATTTGTATTTGGGGTGGAGGCAGAATTCATGAGATTGAGCCGGAGGGACGGGCTAGAGGAGAAGAGCCGGAGAGATGGACAAGCCACTGGGGAGCTTTGCAGTAGTTTAGACAACAGGTGATGCGGTTAGATCTGGATCACCCCACTGGAGATGGGGAGAAGTGAGTGGGTCCCAAAGCTATTTTGGAAGAAAATTGATGGGAGCAATAGATTCGACATGGGAGGTTGAGGAAAAGGGAGGAATCAAAGACAACTCTTCAGTTTCTGACTTGTCTAACTGTGAAGTTCACTGAGGTGGGAACATCGGGAAAGAACCAGATTTGGGGGTAAGTCATGAGTTCAAGTTAATAAATGAGCTTGAAAAGCCTCTCAGACATCCGAGTGGAAAGGACTAGTAGAAATTGGATGTATGGGCTTAATGCTCCAAAGAAACTTCTAAGATGAGGAGTAGTAATGAAGCCATGAGGCAGGGATGAGATTGCCTAGGGAGGAAATATAAGCAAGGAGGCTAAGGAGTCCACCCTATTGAGAAACTCCCACGTACAATGGACAGGAAGAGGCAGACGGACCTCTAAAGCAGACCAGGAAGCAGGGGCCAGAAAAACTGGGAAGAAATAAGGAGAGTGTGTTGTCTTGGAACCCAGTGAAAGAGACCATTTCGAGAACGGTGTCACATAATGCTGAACATCACACACTTCTTGGATTTGAAGGCATGGAGGCCATCTGAGATGTTGGTAAAAGCTGTTGCTGGACTGCGGTAACAGGTTGAGGTGAGGAGTGAGTAGAAAGGGGAGGAAACGGACACAGATTTGCCAACACCCACGTGGACAGCCCACTTGTCCCTGGGCTCAATTCCTTCTTCCTTCCCTTTTTTTTAAATATGTTCTTTTCTAAAATTTTAAAGATTTTATTTATTTATTTGAGAGAGAGCGCACAAGCAGGGGGAGGGACAGAGAGAGGGAGAAGCAGGTTCCCCGCTGAGCAGGGAGCCCGATGCAGGGCTCGATCCCAGGACCCTGGGATCATGACCTGAGCCGAAGGCAGATGCTTAACCGACTGAGCCACCAGGCGCCCCCCTGGGCTCAGTTCCTTGGCATCTCTACCTGCACTATCACATAATCTAAGCATCCTGCTCCCTGCCCACAACCTCTCCCCCAACCCAGGGTCCCTCTACTCTCTCTCAGTCCTTCAGCTTATTCTTTTTCTGTCCCTTGTCCAGCATGGATTTTTAAGGTCCATTCTTTTTGAAACAGCCCTGCTTTACCCTGAGGCCCTTTGCCCTTCTGTCTTTTCTAAGTCCCTGTGGAGGTATCAGTGTTACTCAGGATCAAGTCCGCTGCCTGTTGTCTCCTGCCTGCCCCTAGGGGCTGAGAAAAAGAATAGAGGTCAGTGTCCTCCTAAACAGAAGGATCTTCAGTGGTTGCACGCTCCACCCTGCCCAGTAGCCCTGCTTATTTTCCTCAGCTGAACATATATTCTCTCACCCTGAGAGGACTATTTCAAATCCTTTCCGCTCTCCCCACCCAGCCTCACACGTCACTCTCTGCAAGATGACCTTCCATCACAATTCACTAAGAAAAGCAAAAGCAAACACAGAGATGGGAATTCCCTCATCTTCCCGCTAGCAAACCAAATGCCTGCCTCAGTCAGTGTGCTCCCCCCAACTGCCTCCTGTTGAAACAGAGGAGCCATCCGTGCCTTCCTCCTGTGGAAGACCAGTGGGACTGGGAGCCGCCCTCCTCCCTGCTGGATTCTCACCCTGTCGGTCTCCCTTCTCCTGCTCACCCAGCTTGTCTGGTGCCACTTAAACACATTCCAAGTCTCTCCCGTGGAAAACAAACAGACCCTTGAACCCTTGGATTCCCCACCCATCCACCATGTTCAGTTACCGTTTACTCTTC